AAACGTCTGCGTCTCTTTGGCTAGATGTCTTCAGCACCAAAGCATCCTGAGATGGGGGTACACAGAAGGAGATGGTGAAAGGGGGAAAGGAGTAGACAACATGTTCAGAGAAGAAATTAGGCAGAAGTTCACCTGCTGCTGTCACGATCAAGACATGGAGAGGCGTGGCTGCAACAGAATAGATACTTTAGCACAGAGAAGGAATGGATAAAGTGAAATACAAAGAATGAAATCAGAAGTGACTTTCAACTGAAATACACAATTCATATACCAATACAGTATTCACTGAAAAAAAAAAAGATGGAAATACAAATGAGATACAGCTCTATGCAAATGCCGAGAGAAGAACAAGGGGCAGGGGGTTGTGATTACTCCCAGTTTAGGAAACTGGTGAAGTCATGAAGTCACTGGATATAGACTCGTAGCCTTATTCAACACTGACTTGTGGGGCCTCTTAACATAGTCTAAGTATCCAAGAAGCTACAAAAGAGCAAGGGGATATTATAGTGAAAATAATAAAATCTTTGATTTGGTGATCATGGTTTTGACTCAAAAGCTTTCCTTTATATTTCCAATACTTTTTAAATAATGATAATGCCCTTTGGGCTACCACAAAAGAAAAGGCACAATTTAAAGAACAGCTTCAATGACAAACAGCACAAACTCTAAGGCAGAGTAGGTAACTAATGTTACTATGGCTAGGTAACAAGAAAAACTTTGCAAAGTCTTAGAACTTCTTTTTTTTTTTTTTCCTTTAAAATTTCATTCCCTGGTTTGGGGATGGTTTTCTTCTTCGATGGATTGGAGTTGACGTTTCAACCCTCTTTACTGTTCTACCCTTCAGTTCTCTTTTACCTGAGTTTGTTTTTCTTTAAAAGCTTCCATACATTATCATATGGTTACCCTGTGTTCTCACCACTTAATGACATACAAAAGTATACATGTTTAATACACCAGAAGTCCAATCTTACAAAATGGTTGGTTTTGCTACTTTATAAAACAGTTTTCTCCATTCAAAATAGCTTGGCTTCATGAATCTAAAAGAACCCCTAGGGTGTTATGAAATATATGAGCAACTAAATTAACTGAATTCAGGTTGTCAAGTGAAAAACGGACTTGACTTCTTTGCATTTCAAATATTCCATTATTTGAACAAGTATCTTCAACACATTTTGAAATAGACTTTTTTTAAAAAGAAAAATATGAAGTTCACGGAAACATTGTCTTCAACATGCTTTAAAACATCACCTTCTTAAGGATTTATGTTAGTGGAATACGTTGTAGCACACATCATGAGTTGACATTTAATTGTTGGTAGTTGGCTATTATTAAAGTACTATAAATAGCTATATATATGAATAATAATATATAAAATGTGTTACAGAGTTACTTATTGGTAAGGAATTGAATGAACTGCTAATTCATTATGCATTTGTGAAGTGATGCAATTTATGAATTGTAAAATTCAAGTTCTTATCAAGCTTATGCTGATATGAACGTGACTGGTAGCATGAGGAATAACTGCTGGTTAGATTTACTGTGAGTCAATAAGGCCACTCTGAAGAACAACAAAAAATTATACTGTCCATCTTTCTCGTGCCAGATATTGGGCAGAGAAGAGTTGAATCACTGTACCTATTCTCCTCTATCCATGGACGGATATTTGTCTTTGAAAATAGGAGCATAGGTAAAATAAAATCATCAGTACTACTTACTGGTAGAAGTTGCATCTTTTATTAAAATAAAATAACTTTATTAACTTTAATAGAACATTATATTCAAAGTTCAGGAAATGTATATAAAGAGCTAACTTTACAATAGTAAGTTTTATCAAAACGTCATGTTTTCCTTGCATTTTGGTTGATTTTGAAGTTGCTTAAGAATTCACCCAACTAATTAAAGAGGAACTCTTTTTAAAAAGCTACTACTTAGGAACCTGGTTTATAAAGAATAAAACTACAAGAAGTAAGTGTTACATGATATGGGCTAATGAAAGCTATTCATATCATGACACTCACAATCTTTGTGTTTTCAAGGATAATTTCCATCCTGTTAGGGTCTTCTGTGGCATTGCGTTGTTGAAATAGAAACAATGATGGATGATAAATTACTAGTAAGAGTAAAAAGTCAAATCTTACAATTGTGAATCAAACCACATTGCTATTGTCATTTAGAGGATTTAGAATGCATTTTTCTCAGCTGATTTGCAATTTGTGAAAAATTTGGTACTTGCATATGGGGATTGTATAAATATTAATAGCTATAATCTGTAGAGTACTTATTTTTTCTAGGCACATACTGATTATTTAATAATCACTTAACCTTTAAAACGCTCTTATGATTCATTGTACAGATAAATCAACTGAAACTCAGAGATGTCACGTAACTTGTGTACAGTGCCATATTTGGAGGATCAGTGCTAGGATATGAATTCCAATTGGTCTGATACCAAAGCATACTCTTAACTATTAAATTTCTCTCTTCCACAGATTAAAGAACATCTTAATGTGTTTCTTAGAAGTAAGGGTTATGTCTTAGTCTCCATAGCACCTGGTATAATGTCTGATACTTTGTAGAATTTGACAAATAGGTGAAGAATAAATACATAAGGAAGAGATAAAGGATATTTGGGAGAACTAGGTATACAATAATTAATTAATTGATCAATATCCCAAATATCAAGGCTTTACTGAGCAAAATTTTTCCTTTTTAACAATTTATGTAATCTGGACTCATAAATAATGTCAATAACAGCTCCCTGGAAACAGAGCCTGGTGTAATAGGTCTGGGACAAGTCCCCACCTGCTTCTAATGGGAGCCAGAGTTGAGAATGTTTTAGTCAGTGCTAAGTGTTTGAAATTCATAGGAAAATTGGTTTATTAGAAGCAATGGATTTTTATAGATCCTTATCTGAAGTGATTAATGTTTAACCATCAGATGCCATTGGTTCATTGTAAGTAATTATTATTACATACAAATATTACCCAGTTCAGTACAATTGATACAAATATTGAGGACTTAAACTGAGTATTATATTGTCCTTGTATAACTAAAGAACTATAGGTTTTCTTTAAGAATTCTCTTTTTTTGCTGTTGGTTTTGTTCTGTTTGGTTTGGTTTTGTTTTCTGAGATCAGGTCGCACTACATAGTTTAGATTGGCTTCCAATTCTCTCTGTAGCCTAGGCTGATCTTGAACTTCAGATCCTCCTGCCTTAGACTACTGGTTACTGGGATTACAGGCATGTACCATCATAATTTGCAAGGATTCCTTTTTCAGTATACCCAATTTACTTTGAAAACTGAACACTGGCACAACGTTAACTCTTTTTACAATTCAGCTATTGATACTCTATTAAATTTTACCTAAAATAACCTCTTTTTGTAGGGTAGATATGCCCTTTAACTACTTCATTATAGTTCCTAGAGTCTCATCTATTATCCTTCTATTCTCTAGTTCCAGGCCTCTTCTTCTTATCATCATCATTGAGAAATTTAGTAGCAGAATGCAATGTTATGTGGGTTTTTTTTGGTACTGGGGCTTGAACTCAGGGCCTATACCTTGAACCATTCCTCCAGCCCTTTTTGTGTTACATATTTCTGTTATAGGGTCTCAAAAACTGTTTTCCTGGCCTGGCTTCGAATTTTGATCCTCCTGCTCTCTGCCTCCTAAGTAGATAGGATCATAGACGTGAACCGGTGCCCGGCTGGTTTTGTTTTTTTTGTATTTTGGTAGGACGAAGTTTGAACTCAGGGCTTCACACTTGTAAAGCAGGCACTCTACCACTTGAACCATGCCTGAGTCCAAGGTTATGGTTTTTAAATAATTTACAACAGAGATTATCTCATTTTACACATAAAATATGTAAGTCAATTTAAATGAGGTTTAATTTGTTTTTTTTAATTTCTTTGAGCTACTAGCTTTAGTTACTTAACGAAGTTAAAATATTGTGATTATTTTCAATATTTATATAACTATTACATGTTCAGTAGCCGTTACTAGACTAAGAACTCCAACATGTTTAACTAAAATATCTTGGAACATTTTCCTGAGAGGAGAATATTTATTTTAGATAATAAACAAAATCAACAAAAAGCGCACTATCCAAAATAGTTCTGAAGATCATAGGTAAGGCGTTAGGGACAATAATTTAAACCAATGTATTCCATTTTATTAGATAACATATGGGTAGGGCTTTTGAAAAAGAAATAAAATTTAAAAATATAAATACTTTATATATAATTATGATATCACCATATTACTTGAAATGTAAAGGAAACAGACAATTGGAATAGTATTACAATTTAAAACTCCTTAAGGAATTTATATTATATGTAATTGAATTTTTACACCCTAAAAATAAATTTGTTTGAAATATAACCCAAAGTACTGCTTTTTATTGAGCCAATATAAACAGGCAGTATTGTTTAAGTATTAAATCTACCCTCTGAGTGACTTTAAGAGGACAGCTGAGAAGCCGATTGGTTGCATCCACACTCTCCTTTTTATTTACACCCCTCCTCCAAACAGTCTATGAACTCATCTGTGTATTTGTCTGGTTCAGACGTCTGTAAACGTTATTTTAAATACACAAAAATGTGAGGCAAGCTATTTGTTTCAAAGGGCCACTCGGTTAATCTTAGCAAACAGAAACTTTCTAGGAAGCAGCTGGACCAGCCCCACTTTTTAGGATGCCTTAACGACAACATGTGAACAATAAGGAGGCCAGCAGAATATTCTAGTAAGTTAGCAAGCTGTTTGACACAATTCTACTGGTTATCTTAAAACAACAGCCAGTTTTCTGTGCTGAATTCGACCCTTTTGATGTTTTATTTGTGTAGCTAGAGTCCATGTTGGATAAAGCAATGTTTTTTAGGAGTTTAAACAAAGGTCACCTCTACTGTAAGCTAGCCATCTGCTAAAGCTACTAGACAAAGCTGTTATTTTCACTCCCATCTCTTTTTAGCCCTTGATCTGGATACATAATATTGATTCACTCACCCTGAATGAATAGGGCTGGAAGAAAGAGCCACGTTGTCTAAGTTCTCAGTGCCCCAGCTCAGACGATAAGAATTCCTTTCTGCCTCCTTGGCTAGAGTTGACACCTAAACACAAAGGACATTGGATTTAAGAAAAATACTTTGCTTCAAGCGAAGTAAAATATAATGAAATCTAAAAAGTGGCATCACAAGAAGGTAGTATTTACCCAGAAAAAAAACCTTTCATTTAAAAATGTAAGCCAAAGAATTTAAAATAAATCTTTCATAACATTATATTATTGGAATAAAATTAAGATTACTTTAGTATAATTGCCTTTGAAGAGACTTGATATCCATTTCCCTACATCTAATCCATCAAAAATAATAAAATCATACCTAAAATTAAGCTATTCTAGAATAGACTTTAAGCCTTTCCTCATAGCTAATAGCTTTAACTATTGAAAGATATATTTTAACTGTGCAATTCATCTTATTAATGCATCCTACTTGTTTTTCTCTTAAAAGAGGTTTGATTTAAAAAACACAAATCTTCATATACAATGTTCATAGAAGAATTCAGTATAGCTGAAGAAATAAGTAGTACATTATTTCAGAAAGACTGCTCATTGAAAAAAATTAAGTAAACATTTTTCATATTTTAAGAAACCCTCAAATCTCTTATCCTAGCTTATCCTCAAGACATTTGTAGCATTAGGTAAAGTTGAAAGCTATCCAGAAAGTGAAGATATGAAGGCAAAAAGTCACATACCTGGTGACTGGGGATCACAACTGTGTCGTCAATCATGGCACTATCCCTCAGGTAGGACGCATGACTCAGAGTGTGAGACCTGTCGGAACTGAAGGATCGAAGGCTGGTAGGTTGGCAGGAGGTCACGGTCATATACCAACAGCAGTAGTAGGATTGGGAGGATGAAATGATGAGCCGATCAGGAGAGTGAAAAGAGCGTGCTATTAGCTAACAGTGCAACTTCCAGGGGGACACAGGTCTCTGTGCTGCCCTACCTCTCTGTCCAACAGCGAAACTAAAACATCCCTTGACTGGTTCCTACCACTCAATGGCAAGGGCACAAGGGAATCCAGAAGTTAAAATTTGATACTCCTAATCTGATTCTTTTGCTTCCCAGAAATGTCTGAAACAAGTCACTGTAGCTTACTTACTGCCAGTACAAGAAATTCACAGAGGAAATAATTCTAGGATAGATTAGTTAAATCTGTGTTAAGTGTCAATCTCCCTCTAACTAAGGAAAAATATGAGGGAGAAAGTAGACAACTCTCAGCGAGAAGAGCAAAATGAAAGTGCAGGTTTCATTCTCGCTCATTTTTTTCTAGTCTCTTTCCAACCTCTTTCTCTCTAAGCTGTGAGTACGACAGAATGTGAGTGCACCCCTCTGGAAGGTACAGAGTGAAATGAACTGTGGCCAGATGCATGCTTCCTGTGGAAGTGGAGTTCCTCTTGTTTGTCTCTGGTCACTCCAACAATGCTGTTATTTCAAAGGAAAGCACTGTCCCCTTTGCATGTGCTGTGCGTGGTGAGTGAAGCACCAGAGAGTGTTGGTTGCCATGGGGATAAGATGCAAGAGCACAAGAACTGTTTCTAAGCACCAGCCCAGAACACAGACACATTTGCCAGCACAAAGACAAACTGCCAAAGAACAGTGACCAAAAGTGAGGTTTGGCTTCAACATGGGATTTAGGCCTTGCTAATCAGTGCTTTACATTTTTGATAAATTTGAATTTTAAGGTTCTAAGTTATAGACTCAAATGTGATAAATAAAACTTGACATGTGCATCCATGCACATGTCTTATTTTAAGGCAAGTTCTTGTTAGGTAGCCCAGGTTTGCCTGGCGCTCACAATCCTCCTGCCTCTGCCCCACAATTGCCTGGATTAAAGGCATGCACCACTATGCCTGGCAATCATTCCTTCTTAATCAATCTGTATAATCAGATGAAATAGATTGACATTTTATTTATGTATTTATTTATTTATTTTGTAGTACTGGGTTTTGAACTCAGGGCCTCATGCTTGCTAGATAGGTGCTCTACCACTTGAGCCAGTCCACCAGCCCTAGATTGACATTTTAAGTAACATATCTTGCATAGATTTTTATACATATTAGCTCAAGAATTAAAGATTTGCATTCAGAACACTAGCCCAAAGCCCACAGGGGTGAGGGTGGGGAAGGAAATATGCAAGCTTTCATAATATTGATAGAAGCAAACTTTCATTTTCTTTTAGCTGTAGGTATTTGGCCAGTGAAGCATGTAGAATTATGGACTGCATGGCAATTTAGCATATTTACTAGTAGAAAGTATTTTAATTTTGCAAATACATCTAATTTTGCAAGCCATATTACTATCATCATCTCTAAGAGGTTTCAGCCAATGCCAATTGTCTTTGGAGATTATTCACAGTCATCCAAGACCTACTCACTCCTATTTTACATGTGATTTCATGACCTCATGTCTTAGAGAGTGACATGAATCAAAGAAATTGATTGTCTGTTCCTATGTGCTCATACCTGCATACATCTATCTGTGTGTTTATTAGCTATTTCTGTTCTGTAAGCTTTGGCACAGATTGAGGCTCCTGACCCAGTCAAGGCAGAGACAGCCTGGATGCCTGGGTAAACTCATGAGCCAGGGTGTGAGCACAGCCACTATAAGGAAGCTTATACCATGGCTAGTTTTATATAGCCACGCAGTTGGCTTTTAATGGTACATCCCATACACAGGCTGCTGTGATCAGCGTTAACTTAATCTCCATTTTTGGCTAGGACAGAGATTCAATAATTGGGAAATGAGTCTTTACCTCAGCAAAAGCTTGTCTCAGCTGGTAGGATGAACAGATTTGGTCCCTCCTGCTTTAAACCACAAAGACAGTAAAGATCCACCTGGCTGTGTTTTGGAACCAGGCAGTACTGGATCAGCATCTCCTAAATCCTATTCTTTATTTTGTTTTGAATTTGTCTAAGAGAAGGAAAATAGCAGAGGGGCCAACCTCTTGAAATAACAGAGCTTGTCTATGAAACAGACCATCTTCCTCAATCCAGTGGTTTCTATTGGGCTCAGATTTGTTAGAATTCAAATCTCTAGATTATGACTTTACACATTTAATATTGTGAGCTGTCTCTGATCAGCAATGTCTGCTCATAAGACCAAGTGGTCTTAAAATCAACTCTGAAATGAAGCCCTAGAATAGCAGAAATATTAGTCTCTATGTGTAAATGAAAACTTAGCTTGAATGGGAACAAACTGATAAATAAAAGTACCCCAAATAAAACCCAGTGACATAGCTGCCAGCATTATAAATGTCTGAGCTTTGAGAAAAAGGCACAAGGTCTCAATTGCCACTCTCTAGGAGTAACAATGATGGGCAGACAAATTTCTCCATCTCAGGAATGTGGTATGAAATATCCCATTGGGCTATAAATGTAAAGCCACATTTGGCATCAGAATCAGAAATAAAAGTGGGTTTTTGATATCCATCTACTTGATACCCATATCTCTCAGTTGGTTTTGAATTGGGAGGAACAGAGAGATCCTGGTATTATTAATTTTTTTTGTCTTCCTTAAAACCCAACAGAAAAAAAAATACAGGGCCAAGATAAAGGAAGAAAAGAGACAAAGTGACATACAATCACAAAAAAGTGATTAGGAAAGAGAGGAAGAGATAATAGGATATGCAGAAAGAGAAAAAAACTAGACAGAGAGAGGGAGGGACAAAAGATAAGTTGGAACTTTCTGCCTAAGTATTTCTATTTCTGTATGAATTTTATTCTGGATCACTTTGTTTAATACCTTCTGAAAATGCTAATTGCTTATTTAATCAATGTTTATAATTTCTAATTGTTCTTTTCCTATGACATCATAGAATCTACTAAGATAAAATAAATATGGTTAGAATATCCTAACAGCAAAATAATTATTCTCTCTAAAGCACAAAGATCTGCAACAATTCAAGATCTTGGAATCAGAAATTGTCCATCCTGATTTAAAACATTACAAACAAGTTTAAATATTTTCAATAGGGTTGCCATTATTTTATTAAGTCAGAGAGCTTCCTATTCAGTTAATGCATTTATAATAACATATCAATAGAAATGTGAGTTTTTATTTGTTCAGCTAGAGGACTGTCAGCTCTTCGTGCCAAGAATATTTTATGTACTCAGTTTACACTTTTCCCACTGTGGTAAAACTGCTTTATGGCTTATGTTAAGTAAGTTCGTTGAAAAGTATAACAACCACAATTGTACTAAACTGTGATATTTATTAAACATTCAATTTTTAATTGAATAAAATAGGGTTGTAAACTCCACTGAACGAGTGAATACCCAAGTTTTTCAATATGTTTGCTGTCATATGTGAAGAAGTTTCTGTGTTTTGTTATTTGGATTTTTTTTAAAATTTGGACAGCATTTTAAATTTATAAACAATAATAAAATGGATATAAAATCCAGGTAATTATAAATGGGATATACTTTATTTGTAAATAGGATATATTTTTATTCTGCATCTATGTATCTCTTAGTCACCATAATCGTTTTTCTCTCTTCTCCAACTATGCATAGGCTCGTTAGGTTCATTTGGGGGAAGCCATGTTCATGTTTTGTCAACCACAAGGTGGAGCTGTGACAAGTCATGCCTAGGTCATCAGGCTGACTTTTATTTTAGTAATAGATTCAATTCTTCTAACTCAAACAATAATTGAATTTAGTATCAAAATGCTAATTTAAGATTGAATCCATAATTCTAGAAATAAGCACTTACCACCAATAAACACACACCACACTCACTCACACACTCAGGCTGAGAAGTGAGCAGGGAAATGTGGATATGTTCAGGAAGGCCATGTTTTCACGCTGTGTCATACCTACCTGGGCATGGTACTATTGAGAGCATACCAAATAAAGAAATAATGAAACAAATGGTTACCAAAAAAAGGTGACATATTGAATTGCCTAAGCAAAATTTAAAAATAATAAAACAAACAAGAAAACCATGAAAATGAGATGCTGCCTTTAGTTCCATTTTGGAGATTGTGAATACAGCTGGTGCGCTAGAAATGCACGTGTGGGCCTGGAGAACAGGTCGTGTCTTGTTTGTTTCATGTCCCCTGTTTTTATATACTGGTAAGTTCAGTCTGAGTAAAGGTATTGAAACATCCACCCATTTTATATAAAGTATACTGCAAATTCTTTTTTGACTTAAGTACTTAGGAAGAAGGGAAAAGGACTGAATCGAGCACTTAATAATAGATGCTGTGCCAAAAATAAAGTTTCTTTGGCTAAGAGTAATACAGCTATGCATAATAATGACGAATTTATGCAAAACCATAAACACTTCCCTCTATTGAACCTTGAAATATTTTAAGACTCTAAGGCTACAGATGCAAATCTACGAATGAATCAGAACTTTATGGATGCAGCACTGAATCTGCCACCTCTTCTACCTCCCGAGGGCCTCCTCCATCTGTATTCTGTCTAAGCCATTGGAGCCAAGTCCACTTAACTTCGTTCCTTTTCAAACACCCACCTGAAACTCATCACCAAATCTGGTTAGCTGCCTCAAGCCTATGACTACCATGAAGGGTAGAGTTTAAGTCCTCTCATAACGACCCAGCTAATATCACTGCAATAGCCTCTCCGGCGGTTGTGACTGAGAAACCTACTTGAAGAGCTCTCACCTCTAGCTCACCGGCAGAGGGATTCCTTTCAATGCAATATGATTTCCCTTGCTATTGCACTTTCTCCTGTGACATTGTACTACTCTGTTGCTCACACACATAGAAGTCTGTGCTCATGATGCTGTTAAGGCTTCAAATGTCCTCCCCATTTTCTCCAGCCACCATTACTCATCATCACTCAGTCTTAATTTGGACTCCTCTGTGCCAGGAAGCTTGGCCTCTTGGCTCCAGTGGCTCTATGCATTCCATTCCCCTCGTCTCTCTTCCACTCTGTTAGCCTATAAACTTAGCAAGCATATCTGAGTTCTGCTCGTACCTCCAGTACTTACCACAAAGCACAGTGCAAAAATGCACATATTCTATCCATCTTGGAGTGTTCATAAACAAAAACGCTAAGGGGGTGCATTGGCACTCATGGAAAAAGCCCAAGAAAAGCTTGCTTTTAATAATTAGGATTTAGAACTGATTACTCTTTAAGGTACTTATTTCTTGGACTATAAATATGTGGGATATTCATAAAATAGCTTACAGTAGAACTCTCCATATGAGAGTGTTGGTCAGAAAAGACGTTACCCTACATGGACAAGTAGCTTTACCTAGCAGTCATACTTTTCATGAAATGTCAAAAATGTTCTTATTTGGTTTGCTTCAGAAAGTAGCAAGCACCAGTTGTACTAGTTAGAAATAAAATAACATGGACTACACATTTCAGAATAGTAGATAAACCTCTTCACATTTGTCTGTAAAAGTGAGGTTCCTCTAGGTTTTGCTCAGATAGCTATCATAAGATTCTGTTCTTTTTTGTTATGAAAACATCAATTATAGGCACAATTTTCTTTTGAACTTGCTTCCTTTAATTCTTCAGAACATACTTTTTCAAGGAAATTAGTGCACAAACAAAAAAGGGGGTTTGAAGTGTTTACAGATGCTTCTTGGGAAGAGCATCAGTAAGACAAAACTGCCCTTTGAATTTGCCTAGACAAAACAGTGGCAGATGAGGACACCACATTTAAAGCCAGACTGTTCTTATTTATCATGGTTCGGCTTCTTAGTAGTGTGATTTTATTAAGTTATTTAATCTCTCTAGACCTATTTCCTGCTCATTAAAGTGGGCACTTCTTAAAGTTGTTAGAGGAGCTAATAAGAGTGTGAGGTACTCATTAAGAGCTCAATAATTGTGTCTACATTTTTATCATCACAAAAATGTGTTGCACACACTCCTGGCTGACATGGAGGATAAGCTTTAGTGAGTACCTGTCAGATCGTCCTCCCTCCAAGCTGTATCGCAGGTAATTCATGCCGTCCAGGAACTGACTGCTGGGCAGTGAGTCATCCCCCAATTCTTTGAGGTCCTCAGGCCTAAGGTATTCTCCTCCATCACCTGTCATCGTGTCATCACCTTGGGACAATCAGAGGAAGATGGAGGAAGTTATTTGTTGAATGTAGTATCAACTACAAACTATAGTTGCAACTATGAGATGCATCCACACCCCAGCCTGGACACCCATGACACACTGCACATGAAGAGGGCGCAGAGCACAGCAGCCACTTGCAAAGGCCTAAAACTTAACAGAGACAACACTTGATCCATTTTCTTATTAAGCGTCAAGAAGAAACACTTCCTGGATTATAATTATTTTAATGCCTGTTGATTTGCTTTTTCTGTTGTATTTACATTGGGATACTTGTTTTATAGCTTATATTGCTTAACTTAATAATTAGTCCAATGTGTAGACTATTTGACGTCTAGCTCTAGGTTTAATAATTTAGTGCATAGTTTAGAGCATTAATATTCTCTTTATGTAATATGGTTAAAAAAAGATTTATTGCTCTAAAATAAGTGAAATATTTTAAATGGAATAGTGGTAGCATTTTATAAGACTGACTAAATGTTGTATTAGGGAAAGAACACTAGACTGCAGTAAAAATAAAATAGCTAAGATAATTTTTAAGAATAGGCTTACCAAAACACAGTCATAGTCTGGTTTGGGTATAAGCTTAAGTCGTTTTCCAAGTGTTTTTACTAACATTGGAAAGACTAAGTCACATAATAAAGCAGTATGTGGTAGATTCCTTATGCAAGAAGCCCTCATTCTACTTACTCCACCCCCAATGTGAGCTTTGTTTTCTAACACAAAATTCTCACTACTACCCAAATGAGGTCACCTTGTTTCTCCTCTAGGTGATCTTGCTTTTGCATTTCACCTTGTTTCTCCTAACTTATCAGGTTCTCACTACAATCTCTCAGCAGCCAAGGAAGTCATGGAACAAAAGCAACTCAAAGTAAAGCTTTAATTTTTTTTTTTTTTGGTCCTTAAAGATCCTCCAAATTCCTTAATAAAATAGGGGCTGCCTTGCAAAATTTCTTATTCCACCCATCTTTCCCCTCTTTGTGAGGAAAAGAAGGTTTACAAAGGCAAAGGAAAAGAAAGCAGCATGTGTGTGAAGAGGGAGGAGACAGAAAGAGAAAAGAAGAGTCTAGTTGGAAGGACTCTGAGAGTGAAGGACCAGGACATAGGACTGTATCTTGCAGAAAATGCAAACGAACATGATCCCAGCCTTTTTCTCTAGATGTGCATGGATTCTTATGAGAAGACGAAAGGAAGGCATTTGAGGAGCACACTTTTAATCAAATATATCACACTTCCATGACTCCGGTGACAAGAGAAGGCACAATTTAAAACCCTCTCACTCTACTGAGTTGCTGAGATCATCGACGCCCTTTGCATTCTCCCTTATTCTCTGCATTTTGATGGTTTGAGCACAATGCTTTCTGCCCGAGACAGCTGCTATGTTCAGTGTTATGAAAAGCAAGTCTCCCGAGTTTCAGAGACACCTACGGTGGCCTTAGGTATGTATCATGATTTTTCAATTGTGTCTTAGAGAAAAATGACCTGGAGAAGCAAATGTCCCTAACGCTGCTGTGGGCATCCAGATCCTAATCCAGTGCTGACATTAGCTGAAGATGCCACCTGTTGGGGGACCTATCTTGCTGGTGCTGTATAAAATTTGCGTGTGAGGCATGTTATTCAGTATTTTACATCAGCAGTACAGTACCTGCAGAAATTAGTAGAATGTAAAATTTCAGTTTGGGAAAAAATGAACAAGTTGGTTCACAACTAGAAGATTCTTCATTCAGCTCAAAGCTTTAAAAGTTTTTAATGTGTCCAAAAACTGAGGTGATCATTTTCTTGCTTCCCTTGGAAGGCAAGGAGATTTGTGGCAGTTCATCCTTACTTCTAGAACCTCACATCTCCTACCTTGTCTGCCATGCCCTTCAACTTCAACCCCTGCTCCTCTGTTGCAGACCCCATGGAGATAAAACATCCACCTTTCGGCCAACTTTGAAATACAGAAATTTCTTCCCCCAATTATTTCATACTCTGACTCCTCTTCCTTTCATAGGCAAACCTAGTCAACAGATGTTTGTTAATTTCAGTAATTAATCAGCGACCAAGAGCTGACTTATTCTTTGGAAAATTACTCTCCTTTATTTCTCTGATGCAAATCTCTCCTGGTCTTCCCTACCTCTTTGAGTTTTTGCTTTCAGCTTCCATTTCCCTTAAATGTTCACATTTCCCATCTGAATGTTCTTCATGTGTTCTATATTATCATGCATTATTAAGATTTCGAAGACCCTCTATATGCTACCTATGTGCAAATCTGCATCCATCTCAGACCTCTCTCCTAAACTCTCTATATACATTGCATTTGCCTTCTAGGCACCTACACCTGAATTTCCCCTAAGCATCTCAGATTTAGTGTGTTACAAACAGAACTCATCTTCCTTATTCACCCCAACACGCTACTCTGCAAATTTCCTATATGAGCAAATAGTAAACTACTTCCCTGTCTCAATTTGGGGGAGGGTAGGAGGGGGAAAAAAGGATCTACTTTAAAATAATATTTTGGGTTAAAATCTTTAGCTCTTAAGGTTTGAGAAAAATTCTATTAGACTTGGAAAGAATTTTGCATAACTTAGAGAACTTGAGAAAGAATAATTACACACTAACATGTTTTCTTATAGCAGCCTATTTAATAATCAAACTTATTTTCCTGCCTCATATAAAATATGAGAAAGGACTGGAACCTGATATGAGGAGCCCCATTAAAGGTCAAGTGCTCACAAAAGAAGTCAGTGAGTCAAAGAAGACAGATAGTGCTTCTGTATTTCATTCCAACCCTCAGTCATTCTGCAGTTCTCTTGCCTGTTAGACAAGTAGTAGTCTTCCACTACTTCCAGATAGTAGTGTGTACAGCACATCCCATCATGAATCTTTGAGAACAGGCACCTGTGAGTCATATTTTCACATGTACTTTTGTTACATGGTTGTTATAACCCCTGAGCTCCACTTATAACTTGAGGATGTAGAGCTGAGTCAGCAAAGAAAGAAATCAGCTCATGATCCTGTAAGATGATAAGGATTACATTTACAGCTTTGGTAAAGTCTGGACAGTACAGTCCTCTTAGACTGAATTTCCATTTCTGTCTTTCCTTGTGTTTTCCTACCACATCCCTTCATCAAGATGGTTTTAATATCATGACTGAGTTTTGCTCCATTTAGATTCCTCCTCCATCACCTAATAGCTGTGGGTCATTAAACAAACCACTGACTGTCTCCTCACTTGCAGATGAGCCTTTCCTCACTTGAAGAAAAGCATGGGAGGTATCCATAGCCTCTGTCACAGGGATGCTGTGAGGACTAAGTGAGACAATGTTCCTGGCAATGTAGTTATTTAACAAATGCTTTCTCTTCCCTTAGATTTCTGCTTCTGCCTTGTTTCTTCCCAATACACTCCTGCTGTGCACCACTACTAAATTAATTTTTGTAAAAACAGATTTAACTGTTTCAAACATTAATTGAAATTCTTTTTTTCTTAATTTTTATTTTATTCATATGTGCATACAAAGTTTTGGGTCATTTCTCCCCCTCCCCCCAGCTCTCCCTCTCCCCTCCACCCTCTCGCTACCTGGCAGAAACTATTTTGCCCTTATTTCTAATTTTGTTGTAGAGAGAGTATAAGCAATAATAGGAAGGAACAAGGGTTTTTGCTAGTTGAGATAAGGATAGCTATACAGGGAGTTGACTCGCATTGATTTCCTGTGCATGTGTGTTACCTTCTAAGATTGAAATTCTTAAGGTACCTAATTTCCACAGACTCCAGCTAAGAATTCAAACACTCCTCGTCTAAACTCCATCTGTTTTCATGCAACACCCAGACTGAAAAGACTTGATGATTCTGCCACTCTATGTTTCTCTCTTGCACTTTCCTATCTTGGGACCATCACACTGTTTCTTCTCCACAACTAAAACCTAGGTTACTTTCTTATGAATCTATATTCGCTCAGCAAGTCCTTGATACTCTGCTGGTTATCTCCATCTCCTGATCTCTCTGAGCAGATATGAAAAGCTGATCACTCCACGCCTTTAATTATACTTCTTTTATACATTATCTTCATACACGCTTTTTAAGGGCATGTCCCATATTCAGCTTTGATTTCCCCGTTGGTACTATGTTTGGTGGTCGCCATATTACAAAAGCTCACTCACTAGTTTTCAGCTACATTCATGGGAGGATAATGATGATCTCTTCAACACATAACAAGTTAGCCAGAGAAGGCATCTATACTTGTTTGAATGCTCTTTTGGATATTGACACACTGTCACTACTTCTAAAATAGTACTTCTGTAGAGAAAACAGGGAATGATGAATACCTTCCTATACATGTGGCTGCACTGTGTCCACATGGATGATGGCAGGTTCCATGGAAACATTTTAACTGCACAAAACATTAAAGAGTTGGTGATGTCAACTCGCCAACTCTCTTTAACTAATTCTTTGCATGAAAGCTTACTTGCACTATTCAAATATATCCTTTATAAAAAATTATTCAGCTTGAATTGCCCTCTGGGAATAAAATGTTATTAAGTTCTTGCCATTTCTAAAAATGGAAAATTTATCTTACCTCAAAAAACATTCTTGATTACTAGCGCATATTCCTCTTAAATCAAGAGTTCTTATCACTAATATTTTAATGTATAACAGTTTTAATTTTTTAAATTGCAGGATGTTATAGCTAGATCTCATTTTGTGCAATAAGCAGGTCTATCTGAGAGAGGCTGATTCATATAAGTGGAATTTCTAGAAATTCAATAATAAATGCTTTCATTGCATTAGCTAGTGGAAATCTTTAACAATTATTTTGTAAACAAACAGCTTTTTTAAAAATCAAATAATCACTAATACATCTGACTTATACATTTAGATTTTCATGTAATAGCCTTTCCTTAAAGAACCACATATACTTTTGCAAACTTCTTTCTAGATAGAACTTGGTTGTTAGTATAACATGACTACTCCACTGTCATCTTAGCAAAGAATTACTTTTCTCTAAATTGGTATTCTAAGAAAATATTTATATAATGTTCATCACAGAAGGTAATTATGTTAATAGCCTCAATAATAGTTGCTAAATCATTACCAGCATAAGCAATCTATGGCTTTAAACTTCCAAGTTAATAAAACCCACACCTCAAATGCACAAACATTAGTGTTACATACAAAGATTTAAGTATTAAGCAAGTTGCATCTACCCAGTTAAGAAAAATGAAAAACAAACAAAAACTTTCACTCCAACAAGTTCCTCTAATGGTACCTGAATCACTAAGTGCTCCCCCGTCAATAAAGTGGTCACCAAACTGTTTGAAAGCTGTTCAACATAGAAGTGAGGATGAGAAGGTGATCCACAAAACAAAATATAGTATGCATACCCCAGATGCTGAGAACTAGTTGGCAAGTGTTAGAACAGAACACAAAGCTGTAATAACTACTTGGAACTGCCGTCTGACTTTGGCAATATTTTTTAATTTACTCATGGTAATACATTGATCCACTATTTGTTCATTCTTGTCATAGATTCTTATGTAATCTGAGACAACTAAATGCCTGTTCCTAATAAGTGATGTAACAAATTAGTTCCAAATATGGACAGATCAATGTAAAATTTTATCAGATGATTTTATGTATATAAACCTAAAAATACATTTACTATTTGTCTATAGAAACAATCTGTTTTAGTCCTACTACCATCTTCTATGGAAATACTTTATCAAACATGTAGAATTTTCATGTATGTCTACATGGGAATACCTTTTCAATCATGTACATTGGGCCAGTAGCTGTACCGTTGAAGCTTAGTTGCATATTTTACATACTCCTTTCATGATTTCTTACTTGTATATTTTTTTATTCAAGTGAAATAATACATGGAAATTCAAAATATAAAACAAAGAAAAGTCAACTACTCCTGGGAAATAGAAACGTTCCTTCTCAGCTCTGGAGTGATACCTCGTTTGTACCCCAGGCAATTCCTAGTGAAACGGTCTTCTCAGGACTTTGAACTCTACTTCTGTAGACAACTTTCATAAACTCTAAAACTATACAGCACATCTTTTCTGACTTAAGAATTGCTTACTCATGTTCATTTGAATTATTTGCTGCTGCTTTGTGAAGTCTTTCCTAAGGCTCTTTCCCTTTGAATTTAATATAAATTCTGTGCATTTGTACCAATTAGCAAGCTGAGATTTTTAGTAGACCATTGATGAAGAATGTTCTAAGGTCTTTAAAGCATTTCAATAAAAAGTATATGACATAATTAAAACACATATTAATAATAACTCTATTATCAAGTAGCTATTTTAACATAAGGCCAATTTCTAGTTACTTTCTCCTTTCTCAGTTATTTACTAGATATTAAAGACAATAAGAGGAAATTATAAGCTGATCAGAATTTCTCCCACACTCTGATGACAATAGTTAAGAAAGAGAAAGAAATGTTAAGATGCTGTCATCCGCCACTTGAAAAAAAGGATGGTTTGCCCTTTTATGGTGACATAACAGATGTCATAAAAGGTTGAATGAAAGTCTTACCCTCTTCATCAGAAACATCAAGAACCTCAGTCATCGTCTCAGGAACATTAAGCTTGTGTTTTTCTGTGATAGTCTGTAAAGACAAAATCATTCATGCTCATGTTAAAAACAAAATCAAACAAAAGATGAACAGAATCATGGAGGTGGGTGTACTCAACAGCAGCAGCAAACCATGAAGTCCTGAACAGCACATCTTCTCCACATGTGTATTTGGAAACTTGCTCTCTTTCATGAGAACTCATTTGTTCCTTCTGAAGATAAACGATCACTCCCTCCAGTAAAGTTGTACAAGAGAAGGTTCATTATTTTGATTTCCCACTTGAAAAATAAATTCCTTAGTAATGGCGTTAATAATTAGTCATACTGAGAGAGCAGATTAACATTTTCAAGGCTTCCCTAAAATGAACTAAGTAGTGTTTCCAGAAAAGCTTTACAAAGAAGCAATGAACATATGCAACTTATTAAAAGCAAAGCCATTGGGAAAGAAGCTAACGATGGAAGCCACATAAATTACGTGGGCAGAAAATGTGACACATCACTTCTGGGGTTAGAGGATCAACAGTAGAACATCAATCATCTTTATAGTATTTTCACTGGGCTACAATTCTGGTTTTTGCTTATATGCCTTCCACAATAGCACCCCTACATGGGCAAATGCAGTGCTTTTCCTTCCCGGTATGTGGCATAAGGTAAAGGAACCAGACTCTGGAGCCTGGCTTCCTGGGTTCAAATTCTAGCTTCATCACTTATTAGCTGTGGGGTCTTAACAAGTCCTCTAACCATGTTGGTCCTCAATCTTCTTATCTATATAATAGGGGTAATAATACTTCACAAAATTGTTGTGAAGATTGAATGAAATAATGTACACAAGGGCTCTAAGAAAAATATTTGGCATACGTTACTACTCAATAAATATGAGTTGGTATGATGTGTTATGACTACTACTATAATTGAATATTAAATTCATGTTAACAGCAAAGGGCCTTTGAATTTTTAGTCCCTCATGAACTCATGAAACATTTCTGAGTGCCAACTACATGTTAAATCACAGTGATTTTAAAGAAAAGAAATAAGTCAAGTACAGAAAAGACAAATAATACATGATCTCACTAATTTGAGAAGTCTAACAAAAAGCCCAACTTGTAGAAGCAAACAGTAGAATGGTGGTTCCCAGGGGCTGAGTGCACAGGGTGAGAAGGACTCAGGAGCTGTTCCTCAAAGATACAAAATTTCAGTTAGACAGGAGTCAGTTCAGGAGATGTTAGGACATGGTGACTATAATAATAGTGACAATGTACACTTGAAAATTGCTAAGAGATTTTGGGTATTCTCATTACGCAAAAAGGTAAGTATGTGAGATTATACAGTAATTAGCTCGATTTAGCCATTCCACAATGTATACATAGCTCAAAACACCATCTCGCACACCACAACTATGTACCATTTTGTCAATTTCAATAAGTAAATAAAACATATATAAACACGATAAAAATCCAGATCTCATGACTTTAAATGTCACCTCAAGACTACTGAGTCTCAAATTCATATTGCTAGTTTCTGCATTGAAAATGCACTAAGTGAATCAGCAGCAGTTATGAGAACTTTAAAGACTAATCTCTTGACACAGGAGGATCATCTCAACTGAAGCACAGAGGTAATAGCTTGTCTAGATTTTCGTGCTTTGGTGGGTAGGCATTACAGACTTGTTTAGATGACTCTGTGACCCTATATCACTGAGTCTTTTCTTTCCAAAGCAGTAAAGAACTTCAAACACATTTATAAGGAAATTAACCTCATTATTAAGCTCAGTAATTATAAGCAGCGACACACACAGTATGTGTGTATTAAGAGGACCTGATTAAATCATAATGGGATGATGCATTAGCCTTTTAGTAGCTCTCCATTTTCTTCAGAACAAAATTAGATACAATGGCTCAGAAGACCGGCTGTGATACAGAGAGAGGGAGGGAGAGGTAGGGGCAGACAAGAACCTTTCAATCCACGCTACACTCATGTCAGATGATGTGTGTTATTGACAGGTCAGGATCTTTTATACCTTGTAGTTTTCCCACATTTTTTTTCTCTACTAAAAGCCTTCATTCTCCCTTTTCTTGGATCATTAGCTGCACCTTCCTCAGAGAAACAACTTTTGACCCTCCCCAGTGAAATTATGTGTTTAACTCTGTTCTTCTACCATGCACTTGTTAGAAAATTATGTGGACCACATCATAAACAACCATGTGCCTTATTATTTATAAGAGTATAGGGGCCATTTCAGAAGAAAATTGTTTTGATAGAACCTGAAACCCAGTAGGAACTTTTCAAATGTACATGGAAAAACTGATGATAGAAAACTATGCAAAACTACATTAAAAAACCCAACAAATGATGAGATGTGTTTTCTTTTGAGTGGAATCTTAGCTAAAACACTACAAAGAAGCTGAGAAAGTAAAGAAAGTCTTTACTTCATCTCGTATGCAGATGAAGGTACAGCAGAAGCCCAGGATAATAGATTCAGCTTGCCTACATGTTTCTTGTGATGTTTTAAGTAATTCCATAGGCTGATGCAATGAAAGCTGCAGGAAAGACAAAAGCAAACATCCAAATATCTAGAGAAGAACAGGAGGTAGATATATATTTGTTAAATGAACAAACTTTAAAAATTACTGTAACATGCCATTTAATTATTATGTTATAAATTTGAGTTTATTAACACAGATAAATTATAACTTGTGTCTTATAGAGTGTTATTCAATTCTACTTGAATATTAGAAGTATTTAAAAATATTATTTCTTGGGTCCCATCACAAGCTAATTAGATTAGCATCCCTGGGAACAGGATCCAGCTACAGGTGATTTTGAAAAATTGAGTCTATGTGCAGCTCAATTCAGACTTGTTTTCCTGTATCAGGGAAAGTGTATAAACCTTAAAGAAATGATGTTCACTTAAAATGTAGGAGGAAGACACCTTTATAACATCTTGTAAAACTTTTTTTAACCTCTTAAAATAAGTATTTGAAGATAAATAACATGATTTAAAATTGTGAACAAATGTCTATTGTATTAGACTATGCCAGAAAGATTTTCTGGGTAGAAATGTTTGCATGTGACTGTCCTTCACAGTAAATATTTCCACCAGAGGATGATTCTCCATTTGAAAACAATTGATGGACTCACTTCCTAAATGATTACCTGGCAGTCTCAATGCCTATTTTCAGATGTTGATAACAGGACTATGTTTCTTTGTACTTGCAGAATGGAAATAACCAATTTGCTTTAGTTTGGTCATTGAATGCTGTCAAGGTTATTATAAGCAAACATACATGGCAAGGAAAAAAAAGTAGCACTCGGTGATCATCTTTCCATGTAGACACTCAAGATACAGTACAGTTAACACCCACAAGCAATGTAGTGTTTGACCTTCAAAAGCTATCAGTAAATTATCTGTTGAGTCAGTAACTCAACTCTTCCTCATCATGAGTAATGCAAAGAGAAATGAATCTCTATTTTCTTGTTAAGCAAAGTGTCCTTTGAAAACTTTATTATTGAAATATAAATATAATTTTATTCAGTTGCGTCTGAATAGTACATGGAAAAAAAGCTGTAATTAAGTGGTCACATGCATCTCCTCCTGCCATAGAATCTAAATGCTATGGAAACTACTTTAAAGATGAAAATGAGTAGTATATTATGCACAAGTTTAATGGGATGTAATTTGTGGAGAGTGGGTTATGAAAAGCTTATGAGAACTGGACATAGCAAGGTGAGATGCAGCTTAATTGCTTTTATCTGTAGGACGAGAATGACACAGCCCAGGCCAGCAAACAGGAAAAAGCAGAACAGCTGCATCTCCTAAGTTGTTTGCATTCAGAGAAGCAGGAATGCAGGTTTCTCCTGTTAAAATGTCATGCCCCTCCCTGTGAACCACTGCTCTACCCTGTTTACCGCTGGGTATAAAAGACCCCCTGAAGGAGGAAGGGGGACTTTTGCTTTGGCTTTTTGTTTTTGCTCTGGGGCTTTTCCTTGAGACTATTGCCTTTGGTTTTTGCCTTTTGCTTTTGGCTTTTTGGTTTGGGAAGCTTTTAGAAGGGAAAAGAATTGCTAAAGGGAAATTGCTAAAGAGGGGTTGATAGAAAGTCTGCACCAAGAACTTTAACATAGGCCTTAGAAAAGCTAAGCCAAAGAAAGAACTTTATACATAGGCTTTAGAAAAGGTAAGCTAAAGAAAGAACTTTATACACAGGTCTTAGAAAAACTAAACTAAAGAAAAGCCAAATAGAATATGAGACAGTGCAAGTCTAAGGACTGAGACTTTAAGAGTTATGCATATACAGTTTTTAAGCATGGCTGTTGTTTGCAAGTCTGAGCACCAAGGCTTTAAGAAAGCTAAAGAGAGATGGGATACTGTAAGCCTGGAGGTGAAGACTTAAGAGAGATTATGCTAAGGAATAGCTAAGAGAAAACTTGGGACAGAGCAAGTCTAAGGAAAGAGGTTTTAAAGATGACTTTAGAAGCAAGGAGTAAGGCCTTAAAGAATAAAGATAGAGAAAAGAAGCAATGAGAGTTGTACCTCTCCACCAGAGTGTTCAACACACTTGACCCCACTTTCTATCTGTCTGTCAATCCTGTGTCTTTTCTGCATCTCCAGTCACCCCCAGTTAGCCCCAGTTAGGTTCAGTAATAACCAGGAGAGAGAGAAAGCTTGCTGTAACAAGGGAACAAGAGAAAAAGCTTTCTCCAGTAATTAAATCAGATAATGAGTTTTTATTATTTATCATGATATGGGTAAAACATACACAATCCAGCATGAGCCCTTAACATGGTGTTTTATAAATGGCGGACAATTTCTGGCTTGTTCTCTGAAAAAAGTGTGCTTAGTTGACCTTCACTTAGCCAGTCTCCCTAGTCAGCCACTTCCTCTACTCCAAAGTTCACCAAACCACCTCAGCACACTAAGTGATCATGCTAGGGTGCTGCCTCCTAACGCCCACACCCAGTGCTGTTTTGTTTCCAAACATATTTATGCCAATCATACATGTTATTATAACTTTTATAATTAAATTGTACAAACAATATTTTCTATAAAAACTAAGGTAAGTTCTCTGGAAAGTTTCAATAAAGTTATGTCACCAAAAATGATTGCTACTTACTTAGTTGTGGTTGAGGCAATTTTAACAGATTGGAAAAAAATATATCGAAAGGTCAAAAGTTCTCTTTAAGAAAATACACAAGATGTATAAAATCATATACATACAAACACAATACAGTAAGTATCATTGATGTTGTTTCTGCAGGAATGAAAAATTTATCCCTAGCAATGGATCTATATTCACAGAAAAGATATTGGCTCAAAAGGTGTCAAATGAAATTACCTGTATTTATTGCAAGGCCATTTTTATGACTCCTTTTTTAATGAATGTGGTATCAGATAAAATTCAGGACTTAGATTCTGTACTTTTTTTTCTTCTTTTGGCAGTAATGGGATTTGAACTCAGTGCCTCATGCTTGCTAGGCAAGTGTTCTACCACTTAAGCCATGCCCACAGCCCTTTTCGCTTTATTTATTTTTTAAATAGGGTGTAGCATTTCTGTCCAGTACCAGCCTGGGGCCATGATCCTCCTACCAACAGCTTTCCTTGTATCTTGGAAGTGTGTACTACCATGCCTGGCTCATTTGTTGAGATGGGTGGCGGTCTCACTAACTTTTTGCCCAGATTGACCTCAAACAACGATCTTCCCCATCTCCTCCTCCCGAGTACCTGTTATTACAGATGCGGGCCACTGTGACCAGAACTCTTCAGGTTTTTTTTTAATTGCTTTTTTAAATAAATCCTCAATGTTTAAATGAGAATATATCATGTAGTGTTGTTTGTATCTGACATTTTTATTTTAGTAAAATTTAGTACGTGACTTACGCTCTACTACCAGTGATTACATGCAATATAAAACATGATGACTTTAAAATTATACAAGTAATAAAAATAATTGATGATAGCTGATGGACAAGTAGAAGGATGAGTCATATCTTATAGCTTTTCCAAGCTGCCTGCATAGACTGGGCTTCTTGGCTGCCGCTGCAGAAATGTGTCCCTAGGACTCTGATGTCCATTCTGGCAAACATTCTTATATAGATGAGAATGCTAACCTGTCTCATCTTCCCTGTTGCGTCTTTCAAAGTAAAATTAAAAAAGCAAAGGTTAAGGAAACAAACCATGACTCCAAAATTTCTCAGAACTTTTTGCAGAGGTAGTGTTTCCTATACAAAGCTCTGCCTTCCTCTACACTCTCTCTCACAGGCACTTATTCATACTTGGGAGTAAAGAGTTCTGGAAGAAAGAAGGCAAAGCAAAGTTTCTTGGATCAAAGAGAGCTCACATTGCTGCTCAGCTGGCTCCTCATATGAATCCAATTGATGAGAAATGGGTATGACACTTGTGTGGCTCTCATCCCACTACAACAACCTAGATGGTAATAACATCAAGTTTAATTGCACTGATTTTACCTTGCTACTAAATTGTCTTGTTTTATTTGCTATTATTGGTTAACAGTTTCTAATTATTTTTGGTGACTCCACAGACTATAGAAAATGATAATGAATATGATCCCACAAAAATCAATAAAGGGCACTGTTTTGTATTGTGGGCACCTTTTGTTGAAAATAGGTAAAAACAGTTCTTTCACAATATTCTTGTCAAGTTACTTTTCAGAAAAACCCTGATTAGTTAGGTCAGAATGGTTAGGAACATGGGTTTTGGAATCCAATAGCCTAAACTTGAATCCTAGATCTGCCCTCCAGGTGTGGCACAGTCTTAATCTTAAATATTGATTATCATTTTAATTATTATCATGTGGAAGAGAAATTATTTGGGAAAAAATAGTTGAAGAATCTTTCCCAAAGAGAAGTGTTATAATGTAAGAAGACTCCCACAATAGAAAATAATAAATTTATATTGCCAATCCTTATTCCCAAATTCTGTTTTTCAAAACAATTAAACTCACAATTCTATGAGAAGCCAATTCAGAGAAACAGAAAGTGAAGATAAAGCAGCACTGGAACATGTAACCAGTAGGCCAGGCATGGTGGTACACACCTATAATCCCAGACACTTGGAAGGCAGAGATAGGAAGACTGCGGTTTGAGGCCAGCCTGCACAAAAATGCAAGACCCTATCTGAAAAATAAACTAAAAATAAAAAATGGGAGAGTCTACCTAGAAAGAATGAGGTCCTGAGTTCAGTCCCTACTACTGCCAAAAACAAACAAAAAACATGTACCCACTAAAACCTAGTCTTTTAGATAAATGTGGTATTTATTTAACTAATATGGAGCATGGATTCTTATCCTGGCTGAAAGCAGAAGTTCTGTTATGACTTATTTTTGGTTTATTGGCTTTTCACCTAGAAACGTGAATTCTAAACTCAATTTTTTTGTTTTCATTTATTTTTTAAGGAGAACAATACTCAGGTAGCAAGTGTAGAAAATACTAGTTACCTGGAGACAAATGAAAAACAAGAACCCATGGAGGGGTCTAAAAGACATATCTTCTCTTAGAGCTGAATGTGGTAGAGAGATGACCTGTCCACACACATCACCTAAGTCTGACTTCTGACCAGATACCTGGGGTCTGGTTTGAGACAATAATTAGAATACCTTTCATTGCTCCTGTTTTAATACAGATCCTTATGTTTAAGTCATTTGCTCTGAATCCCAGTTTCATGAGCCTGAGATCTCTTTGGAAGTGGACATGTAAGTTTCCCAGTGCTGCTGATGAGAAAGGGAGCTTATTTCTCACTCTCCCCTCCTGCTACCCTGTGAATTACATGAGTTGTTTATGGGGAGGGGGCCCCTCTAACCTCCTATGACTCTTCATCACAGAGCACATGTTTTATCTCCAGTAAATAATGGAGGAGTGAACCAGTTGATGAAATGAGTAAGAGGAAATAGGTCTAAGATAGCAGAAGAGGCACAAGTTTGCCATCTAGTGGAAATTTGATTTAAAAAACAAACATACTTGGTTCCCAGAGCATGCAAAAAGTAATAAAGTTGACCAAACAAAAAGAAAAAGAATAAAAACAGTAACAACCACAACAGCAAAAAACTCAAAACAACAACAACAAAAACCCCATGATTTGTAGCAACTGATATACTTGGCCAAACTTGCCACTTAGTCATTTCATTTATTTGTGATGCACACGTTGTTTAAAAGACACCAAGAAAAAGGAAAGCAGAGAAGAAAATGGCATAGGTTCTTAATATGAAGAGTTCTCTGGTATAATAAATCATGTAGTAAGGAGAAGCAATTAAGATTTGGTCATACAGAAAGGATATCACATGCCAGGCACTCCATAAATATGGACAGTTTTTATGCATCAATTAAAATTTTAAATAGAATAAAATTTCAATATTAAAAACAGAGTCCGCCATATATAGTGACCCATAAGAATGTAGGCAGGCAGTGATAAGACTGTTTTTCTTGTATGTAATTTAGTAAAGCTATCCTTTAAATCTTTAAATATATTGTGGTGTGCTGCCTGAAGGTTTTAAGATTCTGCTTGAGAAAATAAGCAGTGGTGCTAGTCTCTTCCATCTAAAACTTCAGTCTGTGTCTTTCAGTTCATTAATAAATCATACACACTCTATTTAAAACTGCACGTTAAACCAGCTGTACTCCATCTACTTCAATGCCAACGGAGACTTTCTGTCAGCCTGGAGAACAAAATTCCTTTCTCTTCCCTCCCATCCATCAAAAGAGCCAAGTGTCCAAAACTCTGTATGAATCATTCCTGACTTGGGGCCTTCACTAAAACCTTATTCAGAATTCTTTATTGTTGACTTATGGTTATATTATCTCTATAGAGCATCACTAATGTTTTACTGTTGTTCTAATTTTCTGCTTTACAAAGGTAAATTAAAGACTTGTTGTTCTTAGACTTTGTGCTTCATTCATAAAGCTAATAAGCAAATAAACACAAATAAAATCAATTTTCACTTTCTGCTAGGAACCCCTCCCAGGGGCCTCTTTTGCTTTGCTCCCGCTACATGGTTCAAGAATGTTAAGACTCAGTGTTATTGTCAGTGTCTTCAGTCTCCCAGGCTTTCTGTGACAAAGCCCAATGATCATAACTTTCTCTTCTAAAGAATCAGTGGTTGTATAAAACAGTGAAAAGATTTCAAATATATACTCTTGCAGAACACAGGCAGTTTACTTACTAAACTCATGTAATTTTCTTTTCCAATAAAAGGTAATAATCAGAAATAAGAAAACTAAGGATGAATTGTCGTTCAAAGTGCATTTGATGCAGTCATTGACCCAAGAGCAATGCAGTCAAGAAAGATCAGGGTCTTTACAGAGGCTGCCTGACCTCCTGGCCAAGATCAAGTCCACTGCACTGTGTGCTACCACTCCGCCAGCAGTGGGTGTCACACACAATTAGAAGAAAAGGGTAGTGGTGCTAGAAAAAAAGTCACAGGAAAATGTACTTTTCCATAATTAAAAAATTATACTTGCACATTTATATGGAATTATTTTGAGTAAAAGAAGCAAACCCCTTGTATTCACTGTGTAAACATTTATATCGCATACTTTTGTGTGAACTCCACAGTACATTCAACAAAAAGAAGTTTGGCACCAATAGTTCCAAACACTGTGAGTGAAAAAGTATGTGGCTGGAAAACCAACAGGCTAGGACAGAAGGTGACCATCCCTTGTACTCACCGTAGTAGTGGTGGTGACCTCTTCAGTCACAACCTTCAGGGTATCGACCACAGAGATGTAGCCCAGACGCTTAGCAATCGCCAAGGCAGTGTTACCATTCTGGAGAGAGAGGGAAAGAGGGAAAGAAAGTGAGAAATGAGAGGGAGGACTGAGATGTGAGCCAATGAGATCACCAGAGGCTCGGCATGAGCCAGCATTTCCTTCCAAAACAAGGCACAGCTTAGGAAAATCACTAGTTTTTACCATTACATCTAAATCTGTCTTTGTAACTTCTTTAGACTATAGCCCAGGTCACCATGGTAACACAACAAGCTTGCATCTGCCTGCTCTTTTTAATAAGAAGCAATTGAAGTTTTAACCCTCCAGTTGTCAAATATCTTCTACAAATGCTGTACTGGGTTTAGGAATGCACCTCTTGAATTAAGGTCGATGCCTTCCCAAACTATTAGGGAGTACTGGTACCCTTCTTCTTCACCAGAGGTCAGGCCATCTGGAGCAGGTAACATGTTCCCATGGGGACACAGTAACAGATTTAACTACAGCTGTGCAAGAGCTCACTGTGCAGCAAAATAACACAAGCAAGCAATGCAGGCTGCTGCGTGGGATCCCCGTTTGTTTAATTGCACCGCTTAGTTTACATTTCAATGGCTCCAAGTCCCAAAGAGCTTTGTCTAAGCCAGCAGCTCCCTTAAGAAGGCAGAGAGGGAGGGGTAGAACCAAGCTCACATCTGAGAGCCAGCTGTAAGCAGAGGGCTCCCAGCAGCCCCACTTTGCCAGAGAGCCAACTGAGCCCAGCCAACTGGTATCCCTTCCTGGGCAAGCACTCCCAAGAAGTCACACGGGCATCTGGAAAATTTTTTCCAGAAATCTGGGGCTTTCCACTGTCCAGATTGTTATTTAAGAAAGATGTATCAGAATTTAACTCTGACAAAAGGCCATCAGTGCAAGAGAAGAGGAAGGAAAAGCGTGGAGTGGGGCCACCGTGAATACTTACAGCAGTGGTGGCGTTGGGCTTGGCCCCGTGCTGGAGCAGGACGTTGATGATGTGCGTGTGACCCTGCTGGGCAGCCTGGTGCAAAGGCGTGTAGCCATTCTGTGGATGATTGTGGCATTGATTTTCAGAAGGAGAGGAAAATTAGGTTAGCCTTTTTTTTTAATTTCCTAGTCTTATTTACAAGAAACCCATCAAGGATGCTTTGTTTATCTGGAGCTCAATTTTCCCAGCAGCAAATACTCCCTCACACCTTATGGTCTGCTAAACAAAGAGAAGAGCCTGGCTTATGATATTCAAGACAAACAGACTCCAAATTATAACTCTAATGATATTTTAGTCGATTAGTGTTAAACATGGAAATGGGGCTGACAGTGTGGCTCAAGAAGTAGAACACCTGCCTAGCAAGAACAAGATCCTAAGTTCAAACCCCAGTCCTGCCTACATGCCCCCCCCCAAAAAAAAATCCACTATGGCTATTTGGAGAGGAGATCTGAAATGAGAAGGGGCACAAGAACACTGAAACAGGAAGAGAAAGTTAGATCTTAACTGAAGGCTGCAGCGGATCAGACAGACCTGCTTGTTCACAGTGACTCCCTTTACAAGAAATCTTTGGGTTAGCATTAAAGATTTTAAATGAAGGTGGATCTAAATCTTCTATTCACTTCAGTGGTCAGTGTTAGAGATAAAAGACTACCCATGTACCCTTACAGAACAAAAGACTTCAGTGGAAGCCCAGTGGCCCACCCTATAAAGCATGTCTTTAAAAACTAGGTTTCTAACATTCTGGTCTAGACTTCAGCTCATGATTCTGGGAGGAACTGCTGTGAAGGTTAGTGTGAGGCCAGCCTTTCTCAGAATTGGAGCAGGTGGTGGTGTGGTACAGGCTAGTAATATATTTGCATTCATTGAAGAAGTTGCACTGGAATTCTCTGAGGTGTGACAAAACAGTAACAGCAGTCATTTTAGAGAGCATTGATTTTGTGCTAGATACTAGACCTTAGAGTTTTAGAGTTTGTCTCTTCTTTTTTCTTTATTTTTTGAGTACTGGGGTATGAACTCAGGGCCTTGCATTTGCTAGTGAGGCATTCTACTACTTGAGCCATGCCCCCAGTCTTTCTACTTAATTTTTTAAATTTGGTCTCATGTTTATGCGTGGGCCCATCTGCACCACAATCCTCCTATTTGTTTCCTGTGTAGCTGGGAGCTGACAGGTGCCCACCACTTCACCCAGTTTCTTATTGGTTGGGATGGGGTTTCCATTACTTTTTGCCCAGACTGACCTAGAACTACAATCTTGCACTTCTAGAATAGGTTGGGATTATAAGTGTAAGCCATCATGCCCCAATTAGAGTTTGTCTTTCTTAATCTTTGCTCTCACTCTGAGATGACAGTGCTTGATGGCATTGCACACATAGTGACTGACTAAATGAGTGATGAACAAATGATTGATAAATGACTATTTTTCTCCCCATTTCAGAGATGATAAAACTGAAAACAACAGTAATTTCCCCACAATCATATTAGGATCAGATCCTGTGTAGATCATGACAACTAGTGGCTACCAGAACTACTTTTTAAATCTATTGCCTCATCCCTAATGCATTCTTTTTATCTGATTTCAGTGTGGCCTCATGATAGCACATATAACTGCTTATCCTGACAACATGAAGTGGTGTTCATACACAGAGGTGCCATGTGATTCCTTCTATAAATTCACTGTGGCCTTCCTGTCCATAGGAATGTCCATTTGTGTGAGGCTCTTTCTGAGTGTCCCTAAGTCTGGCACATACTCAGTGATGCTGTGTTGGGTGCCACACACCTGCTTTACCTCCCTACAATGCAATGAGCTCAACAACCTGGAAATGTGTCATTACAGGACAGGAACTCTGAGAAAGTTTAGTTATTGCTGGAACCCTGCTCTGAAATCAGAAGTAAGTGATATTTCTTTTCCTAAATGTCTTTCCTTTCCATTGTGTTAAAAACATTCTACCAATGAATTCAGTTTATCTCTTCAGTTACCACTCATTAGTCCATTTAATGAACATATACTGCCACCTGCTGTGTTAACAATACAGCATATAAATTAATAGCATTTACACATGCTGAATATGTTAATATAACACAAATATAGATTATCTGAAAGTATGCAAACTCTGAATTCATAATAACAAAGTGACAGTCTTGCCTTCAGTAGATCTCTATACAGAGCCATCAGTGGAAAATATCCCCTGGCTCTGATTTAATCTAAGCTTGACCTTTAGCCTCTGGTGACTCAGGACATTTACTGGGGAAGTTTGAATAGCCCAAAAACCTTTATGTGAGCAGTAGGTTGAAGCTAGGCCCCTCTGGCTGAATGCTTAAGACCCAGTTCTCAAACCAACTATTAGAAAATCCCCAAATCCTTTTGAACCTCAATTTTCTCATTTGTAAAATAGATATAGTTAAGACTGAGGAGGATCAAATAGGTTTTCATGAAATTATTTTTAGCTTATATAATTATATGAAAATCCTAGCAAACTTTTTTGTTTGTTTTGTTTCCTTATTAGAGAACTCTATAATCATTGTAATATATCTTATTTTATGATTTCCTTTTATATGCTGTAGCTTTCAACTCTTTTCATAAGTTAATTTTCTACATTTGGTTTGCCACAAGCCAATGTGACAAGATTTCATTCTAATTTTAAGCAACTAATAGTTCCACTAAACAAATTTATGTTTCTAAATCTTTTATACCAAGTTTTTGGGTAGCTGAGGAATAAAGGCAATATATATGTTGGCATTTTCAAAGCAATGAAACAATCTTTATTAACTATGGTTACAAATGAAATATCAGGAAAAAAATATAATTTCATCCCCAAAGATATTCTCCATCTAGAAAATTCTGAAGAGTTTACTAAACAATTGTCTTTTACTCTATATATCTATCTAGTCCCCTGAAGCATATGGTCCCAAATGCAATAGTAAAATCTACACGTTCAACTAAAAATAACACTAACATGTTAAAATGAGCGTTTTCGCTTAATCAAATGTCAGTTTGATGTAGCTCTAACTCCAGGGAGACCATTATTATTCTCTAGACAATGAGTGCTTGACTTCTAAATATTATAACCATTTCAACAACAAAAACCATGGTGAACATTTTCAAACCCTGCCAGTGTCTCACTGCATTTTTGCATCTGTGCATTTCAGAAGAATATTTATTTTCCAATAAGGAATGTCTTTCCTAGAGTGTAAGTATGTGAGCAGGCTCAGCAGAAATGGTGCTGAGACTTAATTGTCTGAGAATTCATATGAGAGCTTTTTAAAACAACTATCAAAGTAACATTTTATGAAAACTCAAGATTTGGTCAGAAACTAGACAGCAACTATTCTTGCTAGAGTAATATTATCAGTTTAATTCTCAAATGTCACAGTGTCATTTATAGTTTACAAATTAAGTTTGTTTTAAATTAACCTATAAATATGTTTATGTATAAAAATGATTTTGCTTCTGCTTCTCAGAAGATATAAAAAGAAATTCTGACTTATATTTCTAATTAGTAGCATCTTGAATGACGACTTTGAAAACTGTTGAATTTGCTCACACTAATTTATTTGAGCCCATTCACATAGCTGTAATTAGGAATCTCTTATATATGAACTTGAAAATGTAGCATGCAAATACTTCTTTGAACCAAAGAACTTGGAGCTGAAAAGTTATCCACTGTCAGTGGTAGTTGGAGCACACATTTCTTTTCACCTTGAACCAATCTGAGTACACCCACAATTGGAAAGGTGACCTGACCTTGCTTTGTTGAAGCCTCCCTTCAGAGCACTGGGAAAAACTGCTGGAATGAAGTCAGCTCAACATTATCCTTAAGAACTTCTAGCCAGGGCCTCACACACCATTGCCCCTCTGAGCATGACCACGTCCTATTCCCAACGTGATGGAGTTTGTTAAAAATGAAAGGCATGCAGTCTAGGCTGTCTGTCTGTATTTCTTCATAAGGGGGATAATTGCTAGGGGAAGAGGCCAAGGCTGTGACACAGGTAAAGGAAATTTGCCAGACATCAGGATAAACTAGCAGCAAACTACTGTATCCTGCAGTAAATTGTTAAGTGGATGTCAGCTACTTTTAACTTTACAGTAGAAGCAATTCTGCAGCTAATCCATATAGCAGTCAAAGGTTATTAGGATGAAAAGTTCCAAAAAATTACAAAAGCACATTGCTTCTTCAAAATCCTTATAGATGAACTAAAAAAAAAAGAGAGAGGAAAAAAAGCCCACTTGTATCTATGGTAGCTAGTGAAGTGTCCAGATGGCTACATGTTTTTGCTTATAGAAAAGGAAAACGAGTATTTTACCTTGGTTTTTGCATTGACATTTGCCCCCTGCTTCAGAAGGAAGTTGACCATTTTCACATTTCCATAGTGACAGGCCACAATTAAAGGAGTGTAACCAAGCTGTAAACAATGAATAAATCACAAAAGTAGAAGTGTTACTAGTCCAGTGATTAATATCCAAGGAAGAGAGATTAGGTAGAATTTCAGTTATTGTAGGTGGGTGGAAACTGAATATAAAATTGAATCTGTACACTACAAATTAGCAGATTATATATATATATGTATATACACATATTATTGGATACAAATATGAATATGAGCATATTCCTGACTTCATGGAACTTTCTATCAGCAAGGGAGATCAGAATATATATGACTAATTTGAAAAGAACTAAAAGATAGGTGTAATGATATGATCTGAAAACAGAGAAGAGAGACTGACTCTGGGAGGAGGATCAGGAAGAGACGCAGGAAAGGTGTAGCTAAGGTAGACTTAAACAATGGATAAAAATAATGCCATAGAAAAGGAAACACCACTCCAAGATGAAGGGTATGGAAGTGAAGAAGCAGAGGAAGAAAACAGCAAGTCCCTCTGGATAGCCAAAGCAATAACAGAGAGGGTGAACTTAACACTGCAATATGAAGCCTTCTTATGAAAAGTCCTGTCACCACATTATCCATTTGGATTTGATTCCAGCAAGGTCAGTGAGCCACTATAAATTTGTGAATAGGTGAAGGTTTTTAATTTAGAATGGAATTTTAAGAAAGGACGACCTGGACATGGGCTGACCCAAATGAAGACTACTGAGAAGCACCTGACCTAGAACTTAAAACAATGAGAGTGGTTGGCTTTACCTTCGTATGAGCATCCTGGTCAGCCCCATGCTTGGTGAGAATATCAGCAACATTTACTTTATCTTCTTGTGCTGCAAGATGTAAGGATGTGAGTCCACTCTGCAGAGAGAATGGAAACAAAGGAGTACATTTGAAGAGGAAAATGCATTGTGCTGTCTACACTATCATGATTTTCAAAAAATCCTGAAAAATTCCTATCTTCTGCTCAGAAACTCTGTCTTTTGATATCTATGACAAACTCTTGAAGTTAACATCACTTTTTATCTAATTCTTATTCTCCAAGTTAATCAACACCTTCAGAAATTACATTTTCTATTTTCTATATTGGGTACTTATGATGTGAGTTTCCAAAATAACTCAGTAAATAAGATTCCAAACAACATTCATTTTTAAACCCACCTGTGCCTCCTGCTGAATCTATTTAGTTACTTAAATAATTCACCAACCAAATATTACTGAAGCTTTAAAACCTTAGCAGTAATCTCTATTTTCATCAATAAAATATCATACCAATGTTTTAAAATGCAATAAGCTATAAGAAGTAAGTTTAGAATAACTTTCTCCAACACCCAGAAAGTGTACTTCGTGGAGGGGGAGGAAAATTCCTTGAGATGTAAAATTATTTATATAACATCAAAAAATGGCCATTTTATGTAAAAATATTTAGCATATATAAAATCAATCAATTATTTTGTTATTTGAATATGCAATTAAAGCACAGTTATGATCAATAAAGACTGACGGTCAGAACAAGTTGGGGAAGTGGTTTATTCAGTCAGTGCCACTCTCTGGCAGCCTTGCTAATAACAAGTCACTCCCAACAAACAAAATTGAGATTTAAAGGATGTCTATAAAACCTAGATCACTAGTAAGTTTAACAAGCATTTTTGAGTCCCTTCCATATGCAAGGAAGTATTGGAAGTACTTGGATACATCTGTGAACTAAAGTGCGCACCTTTCATAGAGCTTACATTCTAGCTCACAGAATATTCATACCATATATTCCTCTCCCCCAACTATGACTCAGATACCTTCTGCTTTCATCCTCTTCTTGTACATCTTATAGCTGTATTTCAAGGTCAATGCCTGGGCTTGCTTGGAGTCAGTTGGTATCTTCTCCCAGCCCACCCCCAATTTACTCCCATTAAACTTGGCTAGCCTATGGACCATCACTTTGCAGGCCCTACGCAAGCACAGAGGCTGGGGAGGCTAGCACGCACTTCAGCATTCATGATTTCCACCATGGTGAACTCCTAGAAGTCAACCCTCAAAAAATAAAAGTTATCCCTACAGAGAGAAAATATTCTACCACTTGACAGATGCTTTATCTGAGGCCCTGGAGAGTTTTAGCTCAGCTTCAAGTTTCATAAGACATCGGAGTGAGATAGAAGACATCTTTTTGCATAAAATTGTCACTTCTAAAGTACAAAAATCTGAATATTAAAACAAAGTCAAAAATTCTTCCTCATATTGATTTCCCATCTTAAAACAACAAACATAAAAATATTTCTGTTTACAGACACAGACACAGTCTCCTTAAAAACATTACTGGTTATTATAATCATCAAATATCTCCTAGACATTTTCAATGGCATCTGAAATTTCTGTACTGTTTTCTGCTCTATTTAGAGAGTGGGTTTGGTACAATATAAATCATAAACTAACAGCCAGTTTGAAAATCCTCTACAGTTTTTTAAGATAAATGTGTATTTCCCAGTCAAAGATGCAAATCTTCCAAATACATCAAGAAAATAGAAGGTGCCAAAGGGAGTGCTTTTTTTTAATAAATAGTAAGTTATTTCCTAAGATGCATTGCTTTTTATTTTATTATATGGGGCTTGGACAAGGAATATATTGTCTGTTCCATATTACAGTTCTTATTGAAAAATAATCATTTTTAATAATGATTATTATTGAATTAATCTCATACTCAATATCATTGATTTCAATTGGTCTCAAGTAGAAAAAGAATTTATGTCTTATTTAAAAGTAATGAGGACATTTATTATTGGTTTTGCTCCTTACTTGAGGTATTTTGATTGCATTATCTAATTAAAAAGCACAAAAGACAAGACTTTGACGGTCCTGGAGATTGAACCAAAGCCTTCTGCATGTTAGGCAAGTGCTCCACCAATGAACTACATCCCCAGCCTCCCTCTTTTATCTTTTGTTTTTTGAGATAGGGTCTCACTATGTAGCACAGGCTGACCTGGAACTTGTGCTGTTGTCCAGTCTGGCCTCAAACTCATGATCCTCCTACCTCAGCCTCCTGAGTACTGGGATTATAGGTATGTGTTCCTACACCAGTCTAAGGCTGTCCTTTTTATATACAGTTTTTATGTATTGTATTATCACTCTGCTATATGTGAACATATTTATGAAACCTTTACTCTAGTGACAAACACACATGCCTTTGTCTTTAGAATACTACCTACATATATTTCTGAAATTATATTTATATATATTTAAAATATATTTATATTTTAAAGCTAATATAATTACTTTGAAATTCAAAATTGAATATTTTTCTCCATTATTGTGTGTGAAACACAGAAATAATCATTAACTTTTTGCTGACTGCCTGCTAGAACACTCTCAAAGCAAGTAAGGTATTTAGAAAGATACAATTATAAGGAGGAGATAGTGAATTGATTCCAGATATATATCTATCACTTTTATAGATTAAAAATAATTCCATCCACAGCATTATATGATCAGTTTCATAAACTGTCTAGAATTTTAACCCTACTCAAAATTCTACTTCATGTTTTTGTGAATTTCTCTTGTTTATTTTCAAAGGAATATGTGTTTTTAGTAGATAGTAAACACTTGCATGTTGCCTTCACAGACTGATATTAAATGATATCAGTCTTATGATCAGGCTATCTCAACCAGGTAAGTGACTACTTGCATGGCTCCAGACTTTAATGATTGGCTGATATTGAATTTCACCATAAGGCTTTATTATGCTCATTCTTATTAAAAATAGTTTTGGGGAAGATAGATTCTATAATTAGTTCTGTGCTATGGTTTGAATGTGTCTCCCAAAAGTTCAAGTGTTAGAAACTTAATCCCCAAATTCATATGTTGATGGGGCCTTCTCTGAGGGAATTAGAATTAGAGGAGGTCATGAGGACACAGACCCTGTGATGGTATTGGTGGCTTTATTAGAAGAGGGAGACCCTATTTGCTGGCTTTCTCTGCCCTAGTATGTCAAGCTGTCACCATATCATGATGCAGCAGGAGACTCTCACCCGATGTCCAGCAGAGGCTGGTGCCATTCTCTAAGATGTCCCTGCTTTCAGAAACATGAGCCAATTAAACTCCTAGTCTTTACAAACGTCACAGATTCAGGTATTTTGTTATAGCAGTGGAAATGGACTAAGATGTCCATATTTTAAAACATGATCTGTGAAGACTTTTTATAAAAGCAGAGAAGCAGATAAGGGCAAAGATTCATTGAACACTTCTAAGTGATAAAAACTCAGACGAAGGCCTACAACCTGCCCAGAAATCCACCTGTGTCAGAACTCTTTCTAAAGAATGCATGGTACATAACTTATTTACAATGTTACTGTGATCACGCTACACTTGGCACTCCAAAAGCATCAATTAACTCATCAGTCAGATGTACAAAATGTAGTATTTGTACATTTGTGGAAAATCCCAAGAAGCTTAATTTTCACCAAACCCAAACCACCTGTTTCAAAAAGCAGTGAGAGATGCAAATGATGAATAAACTTCTAAACATAGGCTCCAATTTTTAGTTTCTCACACCTGGCTCCAGGTAGATGTATGTAGTAGATATCTAGACAGACATATAACTACTTTTGTATTTGAATAATTTCCTCCTTACATGCTTGACTGTTATCCAATTATAATTAATATCAAGATCCACAAAGGCCATTCTGTGGAAAGGCTGAAATTGCTAAAGGGGTTTATTGAAAACACTGATTTTCTGACCACCACCATAACCACCACTCAAGCTGGATGAAGTTAGCTCAAAAATCTATGTTTTACAGAGTTCCCCATCCCCTATTTTTCCCTCCCCATCCCTTCCTTTCTCAATCTCTCTCTCTCTCTCTCTCTCTCTCTCTCTCTCTCTCTCTCTCTCTCTCTCTCTCTCTCTCCATCTCTTGTTTTGAATTAGGACCAGCAGAATCTAGGGTAATCTGGGCTGACTGCTTGAACTACAGTGACACTAACTCTTATGAACTCTGGCATAGCCACTCTAGATGCTCACACTGCACCAAGAAGCTGAAAAGGCAGATCTATAGAAAAGTCAAGATGCAAAAATGTAGCCATCAGGTAGAGAATCTGTGAAAGTGACTTCCTTGCTTCTCCAGTTTTCTTGTCTTCACTAAAGCCTGCCTCCCTTCCTGCCCTTGACGTCTATCACACATCCATTTCCTTTGCACACATCCCTCTTTTTGTCCCACATTGGTTTTGACTGGTTTGTTTACAATCCTCAAAAACAAAAAACAACAACAACAAAAAACCTCTTGATTGAAGCCAGAGGCAAGGACAGAATACCTTGGTTGACATGTGAATATTGGCTCCCTTATCCAGAAGCAAGGTGACCATATCCGTGTGCCCCTCCTGTGAGGCCAGGTGGAGTGGGGTTACTCCTTGCTTTGTCACAATGTTAGTCTCAGCTCCATAGTTCAGGAGTGTGGATGCAATCTGCATCTGATTCTTCTTAGCAGCAATATGTAAAGGAGTATAACCATTCTAAAACAAAAACACACACAGGTAGGGAGAATAAGCTTACCAAGTACTGTAATATGTATCTCTGATGGAAATAACATAGTGTAATGAATAAAAAACGCTCACCTATCACAAGTTTCCATCCAACCACTTCCTATCTTTGCAACCAAAGTCAAAAGGTACCCCATTATACCATAAGGCAGACATTGACACAAAACCCCCAAAGTTGAAAGTCTCCTCCTTATAACATTGGTTCTCCCCTGAACAGCAACAGAAAACAAGGCTTCTCTTCTGCTACATAGTCCTTTAAGTATTGGGAAAGGGCTCCATCTCTCCCTTTAGTCTTTAGTCTTCTCTTTTCCAGACTAAACTTCCCATTCCTTCAAGTTTTCCTGATAGAAGCATCATTTCTAGATGTCTCTCTCCTAAGGATGACCTGTCCTGAGCCGGCTCTAGTTTGTCAGTATTGCTCTTGACCTATGCTACCCAACACTGAGTGCTATACTTCAGGGACTGTTTTAGTTAAACAGGATAAAATGGGACGGCTCCTATGTCCACGTTATAATACTCATGGTGTACTGCTAAGCTTCTAATTGGACTGTACTCTTCACTCATTCTACAAATGTTACTGAGTACCTAGCATAAGCCAGGCACTGTGCTAGGTGAAGGAACACAAAGGTAAACACAACAAGCTAACCATATTTAAAGGTTTGCATTCCATACAACAAAACAGGCTTGTGTTAATCCTCTATACCCTCCCTCTCCACACCCTGCTGCCTTGACAACATGAAGCTATTGGCTTTATGTGGGAATTGGTGGAGTGGACCAGAATAACTCATGCATTGCTTACAAGAGTCAAGCTGTGAACTCCATATTTAAAAGAAAAAAGAAAACAAAAAACACTGGAACAAGTTCAATCTAAAGTATTCAGTGTTTCTTTTCTTTTCTTTATCAAATCTGGTACAATATTCTATGAACACTGTGTGATAGAAATTTAAAACCATAGCTGTGTCATTAATGATGACATGCTGAAAGGACTGGCCATTTCTTGTGAGACTACCATAAGAGGTATTTTGAGGACATACTATTTCCTTAAATCTAATTGCAATGTGTACCTAAAAATAATAATAAAAAGCAATTGAAAATTAAATGTCTTTTTTATGCCATTATCAAATCTTGATCCTCAAATGGCCCTACATTATCTGCCCTATTCCCATTTCTCAAATAAAAATAAACATCTTTCATTTTTCACAAATAATATTTGTCTTTTAGCTGCTGAAGAAAATCTAGCAGCTCTCTTTGGAAGCCTCTTCAGAGGCTGATCAGAGTGCCCTAGTTGGTAGAGAACATCGCATTTGCATCAATGATTCTATTGAATAAAAGGGTAAGTAGATTTTTGTGAACCATTTAAGTTTAGGCACCTCTTCTTTGTTACAATGTGTTTCTTCCACCCCAACTTCCTCCATTCCTTCCAACAAAGGACTATGAAAGTTAAGTAAAGTATCAGTGCATTTGTTCACAAGACTTATGTGGAAGAAGACACACACAAAGACAACACAAGAGACCATTAAAGATGGTGTTGATATGAACTATGAAAGAGGTCATGGAGGAGCCTGACCGTCTGCTAGATACTCAACCTGCACAATCTGAAGAGTCCTCTTACCCGACAGAGAGTAAAAATGTTTTGAACTAAGTAACTGAAATTTTCCTCCCATCTCTATACTCCCAATAAAGACTAAGAGAAGGTTCTGGATTTGGCAGAAAGAAGCAAAGAAGCTCTAGAGAGAAAGGGACTATGTACTGGTGGAGGGAAAATTGTAATGAATAGAAATACATATGTATATACATGTATGTATATGCACAAATTTGCATATATTTATAATACTTTATTATGTAACATGTTTATGTACAACATATGGTATTATACAAAATGTTTTATATATACTATCCCATTTTTAATATAGTATATAATTTAAACAGACACTTGAGTATATATGTATAGATAAGCAGACTGTTTTTTCACAGTGGAAGTTCACTGCTTTGAGACACCATGGTCCTGGAAGTTGAGTGTTAGCTCTCAAGTCAGTCTGCCCAAGATCAAATACTTTTAACACTTACTATTCATATGACTTTGAATAAAATTCTATTTAAATCTCACAGTCTTATTTGCAAAATGGGTATCATTCCTATTTGACTCTCACAGGATAATTATAAGACTAAATGAGATATCATAAGTGAAGTACTAAGCAAGGTTTGACATGTACGTGTCAATTCCTTTATTACTTCATTGAATAGTGATGGATACTTTCTCATCATAAGTTTTTTTCATTTTATATATGTTCTCAAAAAATGTTTACTAAATAAATAAGTAAAAGACATAATCATCACTTCATGTACTAAATGATATTCATGTATATTTTCAGTATAACCAGAGTAGGAAATACCCTGTCCATAGGCACCAGACTTAGTAGGAGCTGCTTTGGAAATGGATGCCAAATATACACCAAAAGGTCCCCAGTTTATGGGCTTAAAGGGTCCACACTACAGTTGACACAGGTGAAAAGACAAAGAAACAAGAATCTTTCAGACAACACAATGAAGAGTTTGAAGTCTGTGAGGGAATGAGAGTATAAAAAGGTACATTTAATCAAGTATTGTGTTTTATAGAGGGAGAACCTATAATGTTTTATCATGTTTCATTTCTCAAAATTCAGATATTATCTAAAACACTGAATATTGGCAATCAGATTCATTTCTATTGGCTTACACTTAATATTCACTGACTAAAATTCTTTAAAGGTTCTGTAGGAGCAACTAGTAGAAACAGAAAATAAAAGAGATGTCAATATCAAAAGCTACTATTATTAGGACTCATTAAAAAAAAAAAAGAGTTCCCAAGTGCTTTCTGATTACAGCACCATGGTCCCTCTGTCAGTCCTTCACTGTGGTCCTCACCTTGGCAGTGGCAAGCGGGGAGGCGCCCTTCTCCAGTAGCAGCAGCGCCACCTTCTGGTTGTCATAATGAGCAGCGACATGGAGCGGGGTCAGGCCATTCTGAAAGGTTGTGTTTAAGTTTCAGCATTAATGCATTAGTGTTAGCTGCCCCGAAGCTACCAGGATGCATGGATACTGATGTCGACTAAGTCTGGGTTAATTAATTAATATAGTCAATAGAAAGTTATCAAAATAATTAAATACATCATAATTATCATATTAGAAATGCAACTAAAATTGAAAATGATTGAGCAATTAGCAAAGGATAGCTTGATGGTCACAAATAAATGTCTAAAATGCTATGGAGGACATACTGCATTGACATGGAAAGGACTCTTAACACAGAGAAGTTATGGTCCCTGTGGTGACAAGAACACACATTTGAGGTCCAGGTTAGAATGTTTTCTGAATTGGTGTGTGCATGAAAGATCCTCAACAGATACCTCCACCAGGTCTACTGGGCATAGTCTCATCAGCTGTGTTCATATCTGAAGAGTAATAAAATATCTTTACAGCTCCCCAGGCCTATTGACATGACTGAGTTATAAGACTAAAATACACTATGAAATGCATTTATTTACCTTCCCTGCTGAGTCCGCAGCAGCACGACGTTGCAAGAGAAGTTTTGCCACATCCAGGCTTCCATACTTGGCTGCTACATGCAGGGGAGTAAAACCTTTCTGAAAATGTGAAGAAGAAACATAAAATTTATTTTCCTAACTCCTAACGAAATCTTTGTGAACATATTAAGTAAACTTTGCTGATTCTCCATATGGGAAAAACACTGGTAGCATGAAATTTGTTAGTCATAAACAAGGAAAATTAACTTTCAAAGTGGGCTTGATAGAGTGAACAAAAGAAATTTGAAGTGGTTAGAGACTGAAATTTGACTTTATAGGTTTGGGATTTATATATCCACTACTGCCAGTAAACTGGCTCTGATCAGTGAGAATCAGAGAAAAAAAAAACCTGGCATTTTTCTTGCCTCTGAATTAATAGGTTGTGACAATATCTGCCTCCTCTTTTTTACAATTCTTTTTATAACACCTTAATTCCAATTTTTTCATTTAAATTTTGGGGTATTTTGGGAGATGTGGTTTAAAAAGAAGAAGAATTATTTGTGATTCAGTTGACATATTTTCTGCAAAAATAGCAAGACAAATGATCCACAGAACAAAAGCACTCATTATTAAAAAGTTCCTCCCATCCTGACTTTTGTCCCCTTTTCCAGAAAGCCCACACTGTCTAAAAGACTAATTCCTCTTTTAAAAAACATTCTACTTTGGGCATTCTGCTGGGCTAATTGATCCCAGACTTTTCAACACACTAAAGCTTTAAAGTGCTTTTCAAAGACAACTGTCCTACATATGTTTATATGTACATCAATGTCTTGTGTGCCTACCCAATAGTCACACTTTGTAATTAGCAGTGTGTTGTAAATACAGACATGGCCCTGGACTAGGATCTCTAGGATGGCACAGTTCCTACACTGATCTCAAATCCATCCTCTTGGCCAGACTCCTTGACCACATGTTCTTCTGGCACTTCAGTGGGAGTGGGAGAAGTCTACACTAACCAGAGCCTGGAAAACAGCAAATATGCCTGTGCTAGGTGCTCTGAAGTGCAACTTATACCTTGGATCTCTTAAGCCCCCATCACACACACTGAATATCCCTTGAGAACTTGATACTGTGATACTCTCACAGTGTCACCAATTACTTTTAATTAAAATGACATTCTCCTTTCTGCTTTTTTTTTAAACATTTGGTACTAATAAGTTCTTGGAAGAAAGTGAGTCTTCTGACTTTTTCCAAGTGTGGGACAAATGTAGGAAGTATTTCTTCCTTCTGGCACTAGTCCATGTGAATCCACATTTGCTGTTCAGGCTCTTTTCCTTGTTCTCCATACACACAGTGATGGGATGACGCTCCTCAGGATGAAGCCAAATTCTTTGAGGCAAACCACATGGGGAGGAAGAAAGAAATAAGCTCTTTGTCCTTACAGCCCTGCTGGAGCAGTGATCTGACCCCTCTATAAAATTGGCAACTCTCCTTAGACAAAAGCATATAGAATCTTCACTGTTGAATGACAGAGTTGGGTTGGAAAGCATCTCTTGAGTCACACAGTCCGTTCTTTCCATGTGAATTCCTTCAGGATTTCAGCTCCCTCTGATATTTATAAACACTTAAGTAGCTTTAACGATGGTGAGTCACCTACCAGTTCACTGTTAAACTGCTCTGTGTAATAGTTGCTCTTACACTACTATGGCTTTAGCTATCTTTTAAATCTTAAACATCTTTGAAAGACAAGGGACTATTCTCTTTTTCTTTTTTTATATATCTTAATTTTATCTATTTATTATACCTTCATCTGCTAAGACAATCACCAAGTTTTTCTTGGACGATTATTATTATTATCATATGTTTGTTGTTTATTTTCTAAATTTCTGATTTTTTCTTTCTAAAGAATTTTAAAATCCTTTCAATATTTTCAGATGTTAGAATTAGAATAATTCATCAATTCAAAACATTTCTTTACAGTCATGAGCAACCAGTTAAGCCTAAGAGTAGCCTTTGGCTCCCACTTTTGAAACAACGAGGCCACATCACTGCCTGAATTCACATTTGGAAACTTCCTTCTCCCCAGAAAAAGTATTAGTTTCTACTTATTGTGAGAAAATTAAAATGGTCTTTTTACTCATCAGAGTCTCTTTTGTACTTGTGGAAATCATTTTTCCTTGTAACAAATTCACCTGCTATGGACATCTACCTGCCTCCTTTTCCTGTTCTTCTACACTAGGTCAATTTATTTTGCTCCAGTTAGCTCACTGAATGTGTCTGTGTTTTATCCCAAGTCCCCTCCAAATAGTGATTTCAAATACAACATGCAAAGAAGAGAAAAGTTACCCTGCCCTATCAAGAAACCTCAAGCACAGGTAAAATTCAGGCTGGTGTATTTTCTTTGTTTGATGTCAGTAACAACTCACAAAGTGTGATTCTCCAGCCCCATTCTGGTTAGACACTAAATATCCAAGCAGAAGTGTGCTTGGTAAAGATTGGAGAACAGAAAGGGAATGGGACACCAATTAGGGAATGGCTGACACTAGGGTGGGGAAGATACAAAATTAAGTAAAACCAGCATCTACACAGTACCACAACCCAACAATTGCAGTACTGTCAATCTAATATGGTATTTCTTCCTTGTTAGTGATTTGCAAATCTTATCTCTTTCTCTTGAGATTACATTACAGATTTGATAGTGTAAAGGGAAGAAAATTAGATCGTACTTTAAGGAGATCATCTTAGTCCTAGGTACCTTTTCTAGAAACTGACATTGATTACGAGAATAGAATGCAACACTCTTTTTTGAAGACATTAGGTAAAGTTTTACAAGCCCCTTGATCATTTAGACAATGAATGTAAAATATTCAGAGAAAGAAGCAAGTCAGATGCCTATGGAGCCCTCCCCTCTCCAGCACCCTCCACAGCAGCGCACAGGAGCCATCCTCTTGGTCCACACTATCCTGAAGTCATTCTCCTCACCTTGGTAGCTAAGGAGTGAGCTGCTCCTGCTTCCAAGAGGACTGACGCCACGTCTACCTGGCCTTCTCGGGCAGAGATGTGCAAAGGAGTGTACCCATTCGTAGTGGCTGCATCTGGATGAGCCATATGTTGTAGAAGCAGCTGGACAATTTCTGTCTTACCCAAGCGGGAGGCAATATGCAAAGGTGTCTGCTCCTCCTATAACTCAAGTCAAGTAAAAAGTTAGTGCCAGAAAGACACTTCACTCACAACGCGTTTCACGACTCTCTAGGAACCTCTTCCCCAAAGGAAATTGGTACTACTCTTAACTGTGGCTTAATTTGTATTTCACTACAAAGGTGACCTGTTTGGTTGCAAACACTCCCTTTTTTGGGCAGTACTGGGTTTTGAACTCAGATCATGCTTGCTAGGCAGCAAACTTAGCATTTGAGCCAGTTCCCCAGATCTCTTTTGCTTTTGTTATTTTTCAGATAGGGTTTCATGTTTTTGCCTAAGGCCAGCCTCAGACCACAGTTCTTTTACAACTATGCCTCCACATAGCTAAGATGACAGGCCTGTGCCACCATACCAGTTTATTTATTGAGATGGGACCTTAACTTTTTTTTCCATTCTGGCCTCAAACTGTGATCCTCCTGATCATCTCCCAAGTAGGTGGGATTACTGGCATGACCCACAATGCCTGGCCCTAGCTTTTTAAATAGTACATACTGTCTTAAATTTGGTCATCATTTTCTGGACACCACAAAATATTACTCAAGTCATTAAAGCGTCAGCCCTCACTTATGTTTAAATGTAAACATGCTTAAACTCATGGTTTTGAAGATGAAAGAAGAGAAAAGTCCAGCAGTCTTAAGACCTAGATCCTCCTCCAAGAACTTTTACTAAGAGACGGGATTTATTTTGGGAACAGTATCAAGAGAAAGATATCGAAAGAAGCTGTAAAAGTTTGTTCTTGCTCCACTTGGTAAGCCAAGGATACAAATGCTGGTCATTTTCTTCAAGGAGAAACCATGGATAAAGAAGATATTGTAATCTGGTTGTAAAAGATGCTGTTCCAAGAAATGGGACATTTGGGTCTGGGACTTACATTCAGGACTTCAAAGATGAAATGGAGCTCTGGCAAGAAGCAAATGGAATGAACCGTTTGCCAAGCGTTTTTAGTTTAAAAACAGAAAGAGGACATAGCTGGGTATAAGGAATAGGAAGGACATGTTTGAGGAGGCCCATGAAATCACCTGACTCTAATGTGTAGTCAGGAATAATGTTTTCTCGGTTAAGAGAACCAAGCCAAACAACTGTCTGTAATAAAAATAAAATTGAGTATTACGTTAGTGATGAAAAAGGGAATATCTTTATAATCTGCCCAAGGGCAAGACATAATAAAAGGAGAATGAAAAGTTGGGCCAGCTTCCAGGACTAAGAATGAACAGAGAAAATATAACAGATCTGTCTAAATAAATGCAGTACCTTAAATTTATAGGCAAGAAAAAAGAAGCTATAAGAAGAGATGAAATAGCATTGCATGAATATCAGGGTGGTGAGAAGTAAATAATAAATAATAATAATAATACAATAATTTTAGAGTTTTATAAAATTTAGAATTTTAAATTTCCTTCTAAGGGACCTGAACAGGAGGTATAAAGTGTATTAGATCACTTTTCAAGATGAAGAGACTAAGAGGAATTTAATGAGCTCTCCAGAACTTGAATTCAAGCACTGCGTTCTAAGAAGATATTCTTTTGCTATTATGTTCTACAGAAATGGACACCATAAGATGGCCACAAAGAAAACTAACAGAAGAGGACTCCCAATAGGGATGGAGAGAATGAACACTTATTGAAATAAATGGTTAGCAAAACTAAAGACAGCCACCAAAAAGCTATAGGGAAGATTGTAGTTGGTTTCCTTTCTCAGACCTTTTCCCTGCAAAACCTGATAGGGTGGGGATGGAAGGCAACACTACAGTGTGTTTTTCACTGGGTGGGTTGGGGAACAGTTGGGGCTATGATGGCCTTTCCATCCATCGCTAGCAAGTGGCAGTCCTTGACTGGTGCCAACTACTGGTAACTGATTAAATGATCAGCTGTCGCTACTTAGTTCTCAGACCCCAGAGTATTAAGGCATGTGTGTGTGTGTGTGCGTGTGTGTGTGAGTTATTATATAGTCTGTCTTGATCACTTTTTTCAACTTCTGGTACAGTTCTATCTGAAAGTGGGAAAGGAAAAAAGATCACATAAATTTTGCTAAGAAAATCCTGCAACCTACAACCAGGGATATAAAGACCTTTTCAGGTCTGGGCAATTATTTCTCCGTTTAAATCACAAAAGTTGAATTTCTGCCTCAAGCTAAAGTGAACATGAAGCCACAGCAAAGAATTGGGACAGTGCAGGAGACTTGTGGGAAGAGGTGGGAGTGAAGGGAAAAGCCCGATCCGCTAGATTTCTTTCAAATATGAGAGGCAACAATTCCTTCATTGTAAAGCATCTCTTACAATGAGGCTGTGAGGCAGCCTGGCTAAGAAGCAGGTGAGCTCTGCTTTACCTCTGCAGCCTACCATTTTCTTTGCTCCAAGGCAACCAAAATTAGGGACCCTTGCTGAGCCCCAATTCTTTTCAAGAAGAATCAGAAATAATAATAGCTGGGACAAGATTAAAAAATTTGATGCAATTTCTGCCATTAGTTACTAGCTCACAAGGCTCCTAGGAACCACGTCTACTAGCAGCTAGTTAAAGTTTTTAGTGAACTAACCTATTAAGCCTAGGGATGCTATGATTATGCAAACCTTAAGGCAAAGGTTACGTCCCGTAATTGTGCCAACAGAACAACCTCAGAGCAAGAGAATACCCAGGTGGGCACACACTCTCAGTTACATCCACTGAAGATAGGAAGGACCTTCCTGAGAGGAGGGCCTGGGGAAAACACATTGGCTGAGCAAAGGATTAATGCCAGTGGCTCAGCTTTCCAGTCTGTCTAGTAAAATATGTCCTACATCATTAATTATTGCCCAGCTGTGCAAACCTTTTTTCTTTTTTTGTGGTGCTGGGGATCAAACCCAGGACTTTGCACATGCAAGGCAGGTGCTGTCACTGAGTTACATCCCTGGCCCTTGCTTGCACTTTTCAAATTTTAAATATTATTGTGATTATATGGCTTTTCTTTGGTTACTTATTGGAAGTAAGCAAAAACATGATTAACTCTTGATTACATAACCATGAGGTATCACTTCAAAACCAGATTGAGAAGAACTGCATACCATCCTAAGATCTTAACCTTGAGTGTGATGTAGTAACTGGGCATAATTTTTGAGTATCTCCTCTCTAGATGGGGGGTGAGTTCTAAAGCAATGGAAGTAGGTTTAAAAAGGCAGTCTTCAGAACTGTGTGCATGCGTGTGCTCGCTCTAGGAAAACAAGAAGTCAAACGGAGCAGATATGTGTTCCTTTTTCTGCCCAATACCTCCTCACCCTCTCCTCTGAGAATAACTCTCCCTCCTGCAGGGGAAGAGAAGCTCATACTCCATGTGGCTCTAGCCGGGATGCCAATCATCTCGCCCCCCACCTCATAAAAGAGTCACATAAAAAGGCATAGGTCCGGGCTTAATCCTATAACTTGGTCGTATTCATCTGCTCAGGGAGGGAATGCAACAAATTAGAAATCAGAGATTTGCTTGGATGAGAGGTAGAAGGGCTCTCTTTACATTAGAAATGGAAGGTAATAAGATTAAGTAGATGACAGCTCACTGACTTCTCTTGTATCACAAGAGTCATGCTTTATGATGAAGGAATTACTGCCTCTCAGCAGACAGAGTAAGAAGAAAGACTGAGGACCACAGGAAAAATCTTTTCCTAACTCTGTGGCCACAAACAAACCACTACAATTTTTAATTCTAGGCCTCTGAACCATCCTCCAACACAGGACTGCTCTGTGTATCAAATAAGGTAACTGATTTTTTTAAAACACTTTATGAGTTACAGAGCATTGCACAAATGTTAGCAAAATCACAGAGTTCCAAGGAAACATTAAATGAGTAAATAAAAGTCAAATCTCATGGCTGCAAGTGCACTTTAAATTACATTCAGTGTAAAGGAAAACCCTTTTTTCCTGCTGTTCAGAGACTAATCCCCAGGCCAGAAGCACTAGCACAGCTGTGAGTTTGCTAGAAACGCAGATCTGACCTCCATCTGCAAATAACAAGGCACCAGGTGATTTTTTACACACATTGACCCTTGGGAGCTCTGTTCTGCAAGGTATGGGGTTTCTTTCTTGTTCATAATAGAAGGATGCTCTACAAAAGTGACTTTTGGTGAATCTTAGGTTAAGCGGCACAGCTGAAAAAAACATTAATCTGTAAACTAGGAGGAATAAATAATTAAGGGCTGTTTCTTTATGTAGAACACAAGACTCAATGTATTTGCAAAAGACAAGTAAAAAAGTAAAATTGATTGGCATTTGCATGTTAAATGAATATTAGTGAGTGTTACAATATTTCAAAGGAAAGAGTCTGTAGTCAGTTGTGGTTTTGTGTAAAGTGTTTCAGATAGTATCTAAACAAGGCTGCAATAATCTAAAATCATTGCAGCTAGATAATAATAGGTTAAAACAATGTAGAAAAAATGGCATATATACATGGAATGAGTACACTTCTGTCTTAAAATACAATTAAAAGTTGACAGAAAAATACTGAGGGGGTTTATTTTAAGAAATAGAAACAGAAAACTCATTTATTATTAAATGTGGATTGCAAAAAAATTTACCAGGAGCATTACCACAGTTTCTGTTTAAAAAAAATAGTGACCTTCATAATACTCAAAGTGCATTGGTTGACCATAGAAATATTTTTAAAGTAGTGAAATGGCAGGTAACCTTAAAGGGAAACAAGAAAAATGTCAGGGCATGGGAAGGAGACTGTTGAATAATGAGAGCTCTAAATACATTAAATATATTGAAAATTATATTCCTGTGATGATTACTAAAGAGTATAACACTACTTGTACAATGGGAAGAAAAGCAGATCAGAACTAATACAAGGAAAGCCATGTATCACTGAATTCTGCATGTGAAGATCCATGGAACTCACTATAAGAAAATGTCTAATCCATTCGCGGAGTCAGAGAATGTTAAGAAAGGCTGGAAAGGAATGTTGAGGTTTCTGAGTCCAAAGCTCATATTTTAATGATAAAGACACAGAAGTGAAGTGACTTGCCTAAAATCACTCATATGCCAGTGAATTTTATGCTCCAGCCAGACACTTTCATTCTAATATAAGTTTCACTAATGGAGCCTGGTGGTGTGACTCAAGCTGACGTGAGTTCTAGCTGAAATTGGGCTCGTAAAGTATTGGAGAAGGAAAGTGTTTAAATGCCCACGAGAATCCCAGGATACTAGTGCAAAAGTTAACGGAACAGCATGGAGAGGAAATAGAAAATACAGTACCTTAGCAGACATGACTGGTACATTTCAGGTAAAAAAAAAAGGTGGGAAAGAAACTGGGAAATGAAGTTTTTAAATAAGAAGCAGGAAAAATAAACCTGTGATAGAATTAGACATGACTAGAACAGAACGTGTCTGATGAAGTGCCCAGATTCTTTCCATTTTGGAATGGCGGAAATGCAGAAAGTCAAAATAAATAATCAGAGCCAAAAAAAAAGTAGACCTCATCACAAAAAAGAGGAAAGCAAAACAGGTAAAGGGAAAACATGAAAACTTTGAGGAAAATATGTTTTAAGTAACTTGTACAGAATGACTATGAAAATTGGATTGGCTTTTATCAATGTAACACAGGCAAGATTATTTAATTTATGAAAATAAAGAAATACATTGTGAAAACTGATTTCCTAGGTTAAAATATATTAAAATCTAAATCAGTGATGTATTTCCTAGATACTAAATTGTACATATTTTCAAATGCTTCTGTAATTGGGGCACATTTTTCATTGTTTACACTCACTCTTTGGCTTTTTCCCAAGAAACCATTATTGAACTAATGCTTTCAGTTATACACCATGGCATTTCCAAATCAGGGAATTACAGAATAACAGCCTCTCTTAAAGATGGGACTCACAATGCAACATAAGAGAACCGTGGAGCACCAGCACCTACCCTGGCTCTAGCATCCACAAGGGCACCATTTCGCAGGAGGCATCGAACCACTTCCACCTGCCCTGCCCGGGCTGCCATGTGCAATGCGGTCTCCCCACGCTGCCAGGAAACAAAAATCATCCAATCATACATAAAGCCACTGCTGTGGATAGGAAAGAATTCAGATGTCCCTCTTTGTGAATTTCAGCAATGTATCCAAGAATTTTAGAAATCTATAAAAAGCCATAATTGTTTAGTTTGGGAAAATAATTGTTTTTGTATCTTCTCCATCTTTATGGGGATAAAGCTTATATTTATTTTAATTTTTTTTCCATCCGTGACAAACTAGTGAACTTACCAAAACATCCAGGATACCGCGTTGTGGAATTCCACAATCAATCCAGCATAACTTACATTGCTTTTGGTGATGAAGTTGTCTTTCATCTTACAAACCTAAAATCTGTCATTGATTCTATTTCAATGAGAAACTCCAAATGCTGAAGATCAAGTCCGCACATTGCAAAAAATTGCATCATTGGAACCATACACAAATGCTTTCCTTCCAAAATTCAAACTTTATTTCTGAAGCAAACTACTATTTTGCACCTGATTTGTCTTTGTGTTATGAGACTAGAGGCTATGAGACTAGAGGCACCCTATTTAGGTTAGTGAGCATATTTGATTATAGACAGCGATTTGAGAGAGTTACTGAAAGATCAGTAAAGGAGCTGTTAACAGTGTCATTTGTTGAGATCAGTGGCACTGAGCATCACAACAGTCCTCAGGTATCTTGGCTCTGCACCAAGGTCTGACATGGGCTAGATGTGAGAGAATTTTCTCATTGGGAAGCCTCTTATTACAGAAGAGGGCAGGGTTTCACTCATTCATTCAAATAACTTTGCAGTTAGAACATGAGATTGAAATAAGGATTATTAGAGATTGACTCATCACAACTATCCTAGAACATAAAACTACTTTTCGCCAGTAAAGAAAACTATTCCAAATGAACTAAAGTGACTGTAAGTTTGGTTGTGGTAATTGAGTATTTCTGACAAGTTCCTGGGAATAGTCTTTGCACAACAGATCCTTAAATCTAGAAGCTTTGGGGTAAACTTTACTGTGGCATGCAGCTCACAGTTCACTTTCCTGGCTATCCAGAGACCCATTCCTTTCGAAGTTATAAGAAATTCATGTCAAATAATTTGGTTGTGGAAGCATTAAATTGAATGTCTACTCTAATTTTCTCTTCTTTTTGATGACTCACTTATCCTTTAGTGGCCTTATTTTCTAATGGCAATTTCTGACTTTTGTAAAGTAGATGTATTTGGAATATGTTGTTTTCTCAAATGACACATTAATGGAGTAGCAGTATTTGCCTTCAGACTTGAGATGTATGGCAAGAGTCTTCCTCTTTGCACAACCATGATTTCTAACCTATTTTCTGTATCACTTAAAACCAGTCTCTAAATGCATGAGGCTGAGATTATCTAACTACTTAAAAAAGAAAGGACAACTCAAAACTTGATTTCTAAGTCTGATAAAAAGTTACCAGTTTTACTAATTTGAGTAGAAATAAAGGCAAGAGTGAATTTATTTATAAGAGGTTAAATCAGAGGCCCCAGGAGTTCCTTCTCAGTAGTGAATTTACATGTTTATTTAACAAGCCAAACTTTATCAATGAGGAGTTTTAAAAATCTAAAAATGTTTCCAATACTGGTCTTAACATTTTGAAAATCTTTATTTTTGTGGTTTTTACACATTTGAAATTGGTGAGGTAGATATAAGCCTAAATTAAAACATTCAACTTTATAACCAAAGAAAAGTTACATACGCATACACACATAGTCTCTTTACCTTATAACAATGGATTTATTTAATTCTCATTTATGACTCTGGGGCAATTGACATCTATTGTAAATTACCTACCTTTTTATATTTACATTACTTTTGCTTACACATAAGTATAAATAAGAAAATTAAGGGCATTGTATATTGTTTTACTCAGTAACTTCCATTTCTTGAGTGTTAGACATGCTACCGCCACAGCCTTACTTCCTGCTTAACTAACTTTAAGGGTTGGGAAAAATCTTTAAACATAAAGTGTGAACTTTACCATGAAGAGAAACTGTAATACTCTGCATAGTACTTTCTGCAAACCTACAGATATTTTCTTTTCTACTCCCATGGTTATCAATGAATACTTTGGATTATGGGTGTATTGTAACTGGCAGGTCAGTTCTCCAGGTTTCGAAGTGCTATTATAAGCTTTCTGGAAAAGGAAGTTTTTTGTGGGAAAATATTTGCACATGATTGAATATTGGTACACTTCACGCTTGGGGTGAATTTTCAGACAAAAACAAGACCAGCAAAAGAATGGGTATGCTCATGTCCAAAGCAGGTGCTAAAATGTCATGCCCCTCTTCTCAGTTGTTCAGATGACTCTGCAGACAGCTACATTGACTTCCACTTTGGCCGCATCAAATTGGAAAGCAGAAAGCAAAACAGACAACATTGCATTCAAAAAATGCAACATGATTTCAGGCAACACACAAAGGCGCCAAGGTCGGGGTGCTTTGGGGTCAGTAAATGACCAACTCTGTCACAGCAAGCAGGCACTCAGTGTCCACACAGCTTCTTAATCAACTTGCAAAGAGTTTCAGATCCAGTAGCTATATGAGAATATACCTCAGTTCACAGGCATTCCACTGCTACAGACAATTAAATTCTTCTGAATGTAGGATTGCCATGTTTAGTAAATAAAAATACAGATAGTCAGTTAAATTTTAATTCCAGACTAACAATGAGTAATTATTTTAACATGTCTCATGGGACCTACTTATATTATAAATTCATTATTTATCTGAAATTGAAATTTAACTAGTCCTGTCTTGTATTTTATCTGGCAATTCTATCTATGAGCATCTGCTCCCTGAAGGTCATTATCTTCCAAAAATAAAAATGAACAGACACAAAAATAACCAGGAATCATGTTGAGAAGAGGAATAGATTGGCAGGTGCTTCTCTACTATTTGTTTTGAGTGGGATGAGGGAAACAGAATGTCATGGACAAAGGAACAGATAAAACGAAATGAAGAACTTGAGAATGCAAAACCACTGGGAGTTAAAGTTATACACAGCCAGTTGCCCAAGCTGGGAGTCTTGAAGACTCTGAAAAGATGTGAACGCTTTTATTGCTTTGTTAGTGTTCTATGTATTTTTATTTGAAAACCTACATGAAATGTATAGAGCTTCCTTCTCCCTCCACATGGGAGCATATTACCACTGAGTAATCATCAAAAGATTTGGAATTGGTCAGTTGAAAAACAGTTAAAATGTATGTGGATTATTTTTTGAAGATTTTGCACAAAAACAAACTCTGAAAAAAAATTAACCTAGGTGATTCTAGTCAAGCAAGCATATCCCAGAAAACAATTGTACACGCTATGGTTGTACAATGATAACATAATTTGACATAGTATCACTATGGCACCTGTGACTCTGTAAGTATTGGAATGCAAAAAAAGGAAAGGTGGAGAAAAGGAAGAGGGCAAGGAGGGGAAGGTGAGCAAGAACAAAGAGTATTTTTTGTGAAAGTTACTCGCCTGAATGTGTGTCTGCTCAAATCTCAGTTTTAAAACTGGTAAGGGGCTCAGGTCATTTCTTTAAAAGCAAAAAGAGATTAATTCTTTGAAGTTTAAAAAAGTGACTAGAATTAAACTCAAGTTGGCCCATTATGAAATTACTCTTATAATATAGTACTGCTATATATTATTATTGCCCTAAGACCAACAAGCTATAATTAGGAAAACATTAAGTACAGATTTTAAATTCTTTAATGGTTTTATATTCCAACTTTTGAATTCTAAAGGAGTATTAAAAATATTTAAAGTTAAATAAATTTAGTTCCACAATGGATTTTTGTCCAAGCATCAAAAAACTCAGCTCACAAACAGTGTATGAAACACAGAGAAATGCGAATGTGAGGGAATTAGAAATAAAAGGTGAAATTGGAAATTCTGTTTCACAACTTAAATGAGATGAGAGCCAAAAATTAGCAATAGTGGCTAATCAATTTCTTCTGTAAATATGCTGCCTTTTCATAAGAAGCACTAACATTTGTTTGGGAGAAGTTATTCAGTTTTACAAATTGTCAACACTCCATTGGACCCTCAAGACCGGACTGCACATGTGCAGACAGGTGCTTCTGCTCAGGAGAAAAATACGTGCATGACACAATGACCAGAAAGAGTTTAGAAGGGCGTGACAAAGGAAAGTAAGAGAAATAGAAAGAAATTAAAAGCAAAAATTCTAATTTAGATTGGGTAGAAGAATTCTGAGACACCCAGTATATCTCCAGCAAAATTTAAAAAATCAAAGTAAGGTTAGGAAATGGAAAAGCCATGGAATGCAATGGAAGGAAAATTTGATATCAAGTAAAAATCCCTAATACTCATCTATATCTGGTTAATCTTTTGACCAGATGGAATTGGTTTGGTATTTTAATAACCTGAAATACAACTCACTCAAGCAAACTAAAGTAAGCCCTGCAGACTTTTTAATGCAACCAATCACTCATTCACTTTCAGAAGTTTCTATTGATTTGTTTTTTGAGACAGAGTCTTGCTATGTAGCCCATGCTAACCTGAAGCTTTGATCCTCGTGCTTCCACCTCCAAGTGCCAGGATTAGTGCACGCCACCACATCTGGCTTCAGAGGAGTTTTAAAAATATATTTTGTTTTAACAAATGCATTTTAGCTGCATGTTCAATCCATCTGCATCAGGAAGCTTAAATTGTCTCATTCCACAGCTTCCATCCTATTATCTGTTGAGGTTCTTTTCAGGGAGGTTCTAGCAATTATTTCACAGCCTGTTATTTCAAGGGCCTTCTCAAAGCTTGGTTCCTCACTTTGACGACACACACATACCTACACACACCCACACGCTGTGCGCCTCTCGCTCTCTCTCCCTGTGATTCTTCTGACCCAAGCCATACTCACAATGTTAGTGACATCTGACGAGGCTCCGTTCTGCAGCAGAAGGAGGACAATGTTCAAGTGGCCCATGAAGGCAGCCACATGTATTGGTGTGAGGCCAGACTGCGAAACAAAGCAACAGTAGTTTTACTCCTCTGCACCGGTAGGGCTGTGGGGCTTCTTCAGGTAAATAGCACTTGAGTGAAGAGGACAGAAGATGGGTGAAAGGAAGGGAGGGAGGCATAAGAGAAGGCATGTTTCGTGACAAGCTGAAACATTTTTCTACCTCTGTGATAGCTTGGATTGAAGCCCCATATTTCACCAGCAGTTCCATGACTTTGATGCGGTTTTTCTTGCAGGCAATGTGCAGTGGAGTAAAACCATTCTGTGCAAAAGACAATCGAGTTAGTTGAAAACATGCAGAAATGATTCTCACACAACTCCATGCTGGCACATTGCAAGCAATAATGTTACATCGTCACATAACGTCACCATTTCCTCAAACCCCGTAAGCATTGGGATGTGGAAAGAAAGGTGGTAGTGTGTTGGCTTCTCTGTGTGGGCCTGTGTGTAATTCTGCTTGTGTGATTACAAGGAAAACAAAAGTGAAGCAAAACACCCAGGCAGACTATTGGAGAAAGAAACACAAAGGGGCAATTCTATTTTAAAGGTTCTGTGATGGTTTTGTTTAGACTGACTGATCAGGTAAGGAAGTGAGTGGAAGATGCATTGAAGACAAGCATGTATTTTTATGACAGAGGCCCATATCTCAGAGCATAAGAATTGTTCACCTATCTTCAAAAATCTAAAAACATGACTGCCTCTATAATAAATATTCCAGTTTTGTTACCATTTTCTTTAGAGGAGTGTTCCAAATTAGCAGAAATCAGTGTCTATGCTTGTGTTTATATCCAGAAGTTACATTTTATATTGAATGTTTTTATAACATGTATACTACATTACATTTTATTTTATAAAGAAGTAATTATGTTCATGATTATTTTCAAGGAGAGCCTGGAGAATTTCTGAGATAAATGCAAGATACCTCTGAGAGGAAAAGGAAGGGGGGAGGGCAGCCTGTGAGGTACTTTTTACATTGCAATTGAACATAATTCAAAAAATTATTATATAGAAATTTAACTAGTATCATGCCAAATTGTTATGAATCATATTTTTTTATTTGAACAATGATCCTTTACTGAGTTATATTTATTCTACCAGTTAACAGTTTTGTCTGTTCCAAAGGATAATAATATTTAGTCAGTGTTTTTATATGGTAGGCATTCTCAGGAAAGCATGTGGTCTTACTTAAGCTAATGACTTCTTACTTGTCACAGTAGAGTAATAAAAGTAATTAGTTTGTTGAGTCACTTTCCCTATTTATAAACCATATAATAAGCCAGGTACAAATAGCTACATGTACATGTAGTACTTAAGGTATTTGCAGTTATTAGGTTGTGATGTTTCATAAGCTTATTGACCACTATAAAATTGAAAATTAATATTTTCAGCCCCCTATAAGAAAATGAGTTTTGTCACATAATTACACATAGCCCTGAAAGTATATTCACTTCCCAATTTCCAATGGAAAACTTCAAATAAAAGTATTGTTTAATATTTGATGATTTTAATGATGTCCACTCAACTGATTAAAGAATTTTAAGTGACATAAACTATGTGAACATATAAAGAAAAAGGATTTGCTTTTAGTTTGAGAATTAGAAAAATGAGTGCTATAAATTAGTACATGCCTAATTCTTCCCATGATTATCGTTAGGATATAAGTGAAGCAAGGAAGATTTATTCAGTATTAGACTTTGGAAGATGTGATGCTGCTCTAGGGACAGCCTCTTACAGTTTTTCTCTTCAGCAATTCTTGGAATGGTTTCTATAAAATGTTTCCCAAAGCAATAATATACCAGGCATCACTTTTCTACAAATCTGCAGTTGTGTAGTCAGGTCAAGGAGGAAAATCTCCAAGCAAACTTGTCACTACTTTTTGTTTTATACTATCTTACATAGTCAAATATATTAATCATTTTTAAACCTTTTTTCTCAAAAAGAGATGGCCAAAGTTCAACTTTTTCATACCTGATTTCTAACTCTATCTAATATCTAGAGATGTCTAGAGCTTTTTATAATTTCTTATTCTACAACTTCTTTTGTCTAATGAAAATCTCTCATTGCTCCAAAGTTTCACCCTGTTTTCAACTCACTGGTTTCAGAAATGTTACCTCAGTGTTCTATTCCATCTCTCCTTGCTCACAATCATTTAATATCAAACTATGAAGACAGGAAGCTGGTCAATAAATGTGACTTTATTTGCTTGTCCCAATCTGTACTCAGTTAAAATGGACTGGGCCAGGTTTACCAGGGCTCTGGCGTTCGGGTTGGCTCTCTTGTCCAGAAGGAGCTTGGTTACACGATAGTGGCCGCAGTGTGCAGCAACGTGGAGGGCTGTCAGGTAATCTAGGGTGACATCATCCACAGGCGCCTTGTGCTGTAGCAGGTGCTTCACACATTCCACATGGTCCCCCTGTGCAGCCATGTGAAGTGGAGACAGCCCATTCTGCACAGTGAAACAAAACACAACCAGTTACAGCACATGTGTACGTGGAAATGTCACAAGGAAACTCCCTGTGTAGCCATCTTAAATGAAAATGTCATTCTATTTCTTTTACAAACTCAGAGAACAGGAGGGCAGAACAGGTCCTGGGTGGGGAGGAACAGGGTGATACCAATGGGAGGGGGGAGGAGGTGGGAAAAGGGTGTGGGAGGGTGAATATAATGCAAATACTGTGTACACATGTATGTAAATGGAAAAATGAGACCTGTTGAAACTACTCCAGGAATGAGGGGAGGAGGGGATAAAAGAGAACGATGGAGGGGGTGAATTCAACTATGATATATTTGATATATTGTAAGAACTTTTGTAAATGCCACAACATATCCCCAGTACAACAAATAAAAAAAATAACCAAGTCTGTGTTTTGTTTTTATTACTTTTGTGTTCTGAAACACAGCAAAATCAATTCTTGATCTTTAACACAGCACCAGAGGAAAAGCATTCTGTGTCTGAATATATAGCAGATTCTGTTTGGTGGAAAGGGAAGTGAGGAGAATATTTAATTTTATAATCATATTATTCTTCAGAAAAAGACATTAATATGTTTTTCATCTATGAATACATAGTATGTGTGGTAATTCAGTCTGATTTTATAATTATTAGGGCATTATAATACATATATGTGATAATAATATCACTTAATATTATTATCACAGGAAGAAACAATAATAAGTGATAGCTGGTGCTTGAATTACTTGTATCTAATTCCACACACAGCAGTCTACATTCCATTACCTCTCTGCTTGCACTTCCTTACCTATGAGGGGAGGCGGGTGAAGGAGGAGCAGGTGGGTGAATCAGGGAGGTAAGGAAATTTTCACATCTCTTAGAGATCTATGCTGCTCTGAAATTCTGTGATTCTTTTTCCCAAGACTTTTAGGTAAGAGCTAGAAGAGTGTGAAGCTAATGTGAGAGCCAAGTATCAATGACCTCACAACTTTCAAATTTGAAGATAATCTAAACTTGTCATCAGTGATACGGTCCCAAATAGCTTCAGCCTCAATTTGAGAATGTGGTCAACAGCAGAAACACCCAACAAGAGGGTACAGTATTGTTCATTATTTATCTAAGTAAGACTCTCCTTTTTTAAGCTAAAAAAATAAACTTCAAGAAATATATGCAAAATTAGGAAAATATTAATTAGAAAAACATTTGTCCGTTCAAGAAGCTAGACTATGTATTTGCTTATTTACCGTTTTAGATATGGTCAATAGATAAAGGATGTTGACCAAGTAAACAGTTTGATAAACACTACATTCAAAGAAGCAGAACTTGTATCTGCATAAGATGTCAGGAAAGGCCCACTGCACAATATTCTCAGTAAGGAAGGTGACTTTTAGCAGTGAGAAATAGCTGAAATCTCCATTGTGGAATTTATGTGCAATAGAGTTCAGGTGGTTTAAAAACATAAATTTTTTATTTCCGAAATAATCTTCATTATTGCTTTTTATATTTAGAAATCCAAAAAGTGAACTTTGAAAAAAAGAGCAGGTTGGAAAGAAGATACCTATGCACTGGAAGCAAAGATAGCTTCAAACTGCAGAACAAATTCAGGACTTGGCAATGTTTAGACTAGGGTGTTGAATATTTCCCTGAACTTTTATCACTCTTTGACACTATTTTGTCCACTTCGAGGTTATGTAGAAAGTAAAGTAATCACCATTTCTTTCTCTGTTCATTTTACACTTATTTGCTGAGTAAGTAAGTGCTGAGGACACAGGAAGGAACACGACAGACTGAGACCCCTGTCTTCGTCGAGGTTATCTTCTGAGTTGGGAGACAGACAATTCTAGCATGTAAGACAGACGGACAACTCAAAAATGATAAGAATCAAAATATAAGGTATGTTAGGTCATCAATGCTAATGAGAGCGCTAAAGAGGAGGATGATCAAGCAAGTTTGTGGATGTGGGTGCAATTTTGATAGGGTAACCATAAATAGCTTCATTGAGAAGGTAAGCTTGCGGATGATGAACGCAAAAGAGCTGACCCTGTTGATTTGAGGAAAGAGCATGTGAGGCAAAAGAAAAGCAAGTACTTCCATGTTGTGTTGGGACCAAAAGTCAAGGAAGAGAATGTGGCTTATGAGAACTTCTCGGAAATTATCAAGACCTTGAAAGAAGTGAAAAGACCTTGTAAATCAGAACAGCAGCTTTGACATTTACTCAGAGAGGATGAAGTGCTATTTACTCAGAGAGGATGAGGGTTAGGGCAAAAAATTACCCTAGGTATTTTGTTAAAAATACACTGGGCTAAATGGAAAAGAAGGGAAGCTAAGGGAGCTGCAAGGCGGTTCCCTTGCAGCTCTCCCCGTGGGATGGTGGCCTAGACCAAATGGTGATATTGAAACTGTTGAGAAGCTTCTGACTTTATGATATATTTGGAAGGAAGAAGTGGCAGGGTTTGATGACAGGATGTGGAAAACAAGAAAGAAGAGTTCAGCATGATATAAAGGATAGGTCTGAGAAACTGAAAGAATGGAATGGATGTGAGTTGTGATAAGAAAGACTATAGGAGGGTTAAGCTTAAGAGTGGAAAAAGTTTCATGAGCTTGGTCTTGAACTTAATTTGAGTTGCCCAGTACAGATCCAAGCAGTTAGGGTATATTGACATGAACATATGGAATTTTAGAAACACATACTTGTGTGTCATCAGCACATAGGCACTGTTTAAAGATGAAATGCCTGAGATTTCACAGGGTGGGCATGAATACAAAAACACGGGAAACCAGGGAAGGCACAAACTGAGCTCTGGAGGTTATAACCTTCAGAGAACTGAGAGATGAAAAAGAACTCGCAAAGGAGACTGAGAACTGAAAGTTAGAAAAATGGAAGGAAAGTCACAGAAATATCATGTCCCAGAAGACAAATAAGGAAAGCGTTTTGAGAAGAGAAGAATAAACGTGTGCCAGATAATAGTAATAGGAGAGGTCATAGACTGTATGGGCTCTGATTCATGTAATTGGATTGATACGAAGGTAGGGGTCTGGAAATTCTCTTCTGATTGCTCCAATTTTTCTCAGTGTTGTGGGAAGTAAAGAAAAGGGAAGTCTAAGAAGTTTAAAGACAGAACACATTGTGATTATCGGGGGCACTGTGCACCTACATAAGATTAGTGAGCCTGGTCACCATAGCCACATTCAGGTGTGGGAATGTGAGTTGGAGTTAATCAGAGTGAGATGTAGGAAGTGAGTGAGGGTATGCAGAAGAGTAGTATACGTAACTATGGAATTTACGCTGGGCAGAGGGCCTAAGATGAACAAGGGACACTTGTATCTATGACTGAAAATCCCAGCACAATAAAAGAATTTCTGAAATTGGGGGAGAGTAAGCTAAAACACAGAAGGGGCAACTAAAGAGTGGGAGGTTATAAACAGAAATTATGGAGAGTTTACAGTTATTACACTGAGAGACCAGCTGGAAGAATCATCTACTGCTCTTATTAAGATTATTAATGTCATTGAGAATTCAAAATAGATGTGGTAAAGATTCAGTGTTATGAGAGTTAGAACTTTCAAACAATAAGGGGGTGGTTGCTTCAACTCGGGATAATCTGAAACCCAGAGTTGTTGTGAGAAGAGCAACAACTGTCTGGCATTAGGCACCTATTCCACCTTGTTTGATTCATCTCTGTGTTCCTTATACTGAACACAGCTCTACTTTTTACAATTATCTTCTTGTCTGTCTTGCCCATGAAAGTCTAAGCTTCTTGAAGACATACTTTGTATGTTGTTCATCTTGATAGACCCTCAGTGACCAGAACACTGCTTGGCACATTGTGTCTTCTCAAATACATGATAGCTAGATGTGTGTGTAAATGAATATAATCTTGACATCTGATTTTACAGAAAGGTCATTAAAAAGTCCCACTGAGGTCGTCCATGGTCTATATCAGTGATGTGACAATTACGGGCAAACTGTAAATAAGATGATTTGATGTTTCATGGAAAAGCATGTATGCCTAGCTTCAATTTGATTTTTTTTTTTTTGGTTGTAATACAATTGATCTGAAATTTCATTTCCATTTAAATTGCAGTCTGATTTTTCAACCAAACTTTCCATAATTATTTCAGCATTACCCAAAACAGAATGTTGCATTTTAAAAACAGATTTTTATAACACTCACAGAATAGGTATAAGAATGAAGATAATACAGATAATTTCTTCTTCTTCATATATTTCTGACTCAAAGACACCTTTTCATGACTGGTAGTACACATCTTTAAAGACTGAGTTCATTCTACATATACTTTAAATGTGTGGCCTGGTTTGTTCCAAATGATTTCAATTAAATAGTCAACCCAAATATAATATAAGTGGAAAACTATTTGCTTGTGCCAGATGTCTTAGTTTCTTCAACTCACCCTAGTAACTGCATTAGTGAATATCAATCCTATTTGGGGATGGGAGGTCATAGCAGAACGGGTAGAAAACTTAAGAAGTATACTTATCTAAATTTTTATTGTATTTAAAGACCTAAGAGTTATTGCATACACTATAAAATTGCTCTAGATGATTAACCACAATTTGGGTTTAATGATATTTTCTGATCGTCTAAAGTAAAGCAAGGTAGTGAGAACCTGAATAGTAATGAATCTTTTAACCTACTGTTAATAAATTAACAAACTAACTTGCCATGTGGTTTTATTCATATGGAAAAGAGTTTTCCTCTTGTTTGAGCACATTAATGAAATGAGGCAAAAAATGCTGGATGTATTATGTCAAAAAGAACAATATCCTTGTTGAATGGTTCTGTGTAAGTACCAATCTTAATTTATGCTCACCGTATCACTCTACTAACCCCAAATGTAATCAACCAGCACCATTGCTAGGTAATTATTTTTACTAGCGTTGCCTAACAGATAAAGACTGTATGAGCACTTACCTTCTATTACACTGCTTTAAAAGATAATTTTATATATATATATATATGTGTATATATATATATATATGTATATATATATATACATATATATTATAGCTATCTTAGAGAATCATAAAAATCTAGACTCACAGAATATAAGATACTCTCACTAATATACAATATTCCTACTTACATATCACATAGTTTTTCATCAGCAGTATGAATAGCAGGTAAAATACAGGGAGAACCTTGAGTATATCTCTTAACACATCTTAATGCATGTATCTGTTTCTTTTAATAATCTTAAAATAGTTTGATATATATTTCTTATTCCTTGCACACACATATTAAGTAGCTACAAAACACTTGGCTGATGCTTTAAGTACAAGAAGAAAAGAGATTACCAAACAGTGATGCAAAGAGTATTTTGGATCCCATCTTACCCATAGTGACTCACCTTGGTCCTTGCCAGCAAGGGAGCACCGCGTTCCAGCAGAAGTTCTACCACCTGGTCGTGCCCACTTCGAGCAGCACAGTGAAGTGGTGTCAGCCCATCCTGCCGAAAGAATTAAAGAATTGGGCCTGAGTTCTCGTGTGTGTGTGTGTGTGTGTGTGTGTGTGTGTGTGTGTTTAACTATGATTGCAGATTGCATCGATTACCACTGTAAAGAAAATGCTTCCAAAACTCAATTCTGATGATGGCATAGAAATGCAAGAAAGTGGCAACTAGCTAAATGGCAGAAAAGGAGAGGAGTAAGAGGGAAAACAAGAGAGAAAGACCTGTTGACAGGAAAAGAAATAGAAAGAGACAAAACAGAGACAAGGTGACAGCAAGAGAGATTCCACCTAAGGAAGGTCATTGGAATGAAACTGACTTTCAGTCATGTGTTTGCATATTCAAGAAGATGGAAAAGCTCAGTGGGTTGCATTTCTTAAGCTTTAAAGCCCTGCTCACTGTTTTCATTTTACCTGTCCTTTATCTAATTTGTCCCTATATATTCTTTCTTGAACTGCCACTCATTTCATAAACTTCCCTGAAATTCACACTGATGCTTGTAAAAAGGAAGAGTTTCACATTATTTTAAGGATTTTTCAACATTTTTTTAAATCAAGTAATTATTTCCCAAAGATAAAATTTGTTATTAATAAATAGAACTTAAATGGTGTCAAGTAAATTGTGGCACAACTGTATGCTATGTTATTTATAAAATTTTCTGACCTTAATTTTTTTGGAGTAGCTTCCAGAACAATCCCCAAATGCTATTTCTTTCCATTTAGGAGAGCATGAGCAAAAAGCAAGTAAGTGGGAAATAAGAAGCAAAATGGGAGGCAAAGTCATTTTAAGGAACAATGAGCAAGAACTGAAAAGGAAATAAAATCTTGAGATATAAATTGACCTGGTGATGTGAGGCTTAAGGAAAAAATATAGATTGTCCCAAGGAAAGTGGTGGAGAAGGAGGGTAGCAATCAGGGAAAATGAAACACAGAGCAGCTAAGAGAGGTCAATGGCCTCTGTTTTATCCAGAACTCTACAGATCAATCTGTGTCTCTGTCTCTAAGACCATCTTTCCAGGTTCTGCTTTGCTCCTAATAAAAATGATTCCTCCAGGTTTGGGATATCCCAAGACCTAATGACCACAGTGCCCACCACCAACCTGACAACTGAAAGGTAAGAACTAGAAGAGGCTTCCAGATTCCAGAGGAGAGAATCATCTGGAAAGGGTGCTCTGGCAGGCGAGTAACCTTTGGTTCAGTGTGTGAGAGCCTGGGAGCAGATGTCAGGTCAGATACCATGGGTCATCCTCTCCAAGGCTCAACTGCATGATACATAAAGGGGGTGATATTTTTGTTGTTGTTCCATTTAACTTTCAGCCCTGTAGAAAGATGAGGGAAGGAATGCTACCTCAGGTCACCTTTAAAAAGATAGAACATCACTTTCTGTGAACTACATGGAATAGACACTGTCTAATCATGTTGAAACCTCTCACATACTCTCAGAGCAGCTATAGGAACTTTATGGAGAATCTTAAGTATACTCACAAGAACATCAAGGAACAAAAAGGATTAAATTAGTTCTAAATCTTAAACTTAATGATATAATACATCTGCCCTTATAAAAGACATGTAGACTGGCACTGGTGGCTTACACCTGTAATCCTTGCTACTTGGGAGGCTGAGATTCGGAGGACTGTGGTTTGAGGGCAGCCCAGGCAAACAGTTCACAAGATCTCATCTCCAAAATAATCAAAGCAAAATGGACTGCAGTTGTGGCTCAAGCAGTAGAGCACCTGCTGCACAAGTACTGAAGCCCTGAGTTCAAACCATAGTAGTACCAAAAAAAAATTTTTTTAAATAAAAGACGTGGGAATGAGATCAAAGTCAAGTGGCTCAACAAGCTCAGTCTAACTAGAATTTGAATCTTTTCTACAAAGTACAGCATCAAGTTAGTGCCAGAAAGATTCTTGCCCAGGTTTTGTAGTCTAGGACTTTTTTACTTAACTTTATAATTCTGTGTTTGAAGTTTATGCTTTTTTCCCTTTGCAGAGTTCCCCTTCCCTGTGTTCATTTTTTTCTTCATTGAAATCAGCTCATGTGCATGAGTGTGCTGGTCACAATGACTTGTACAATTCTGAAGTTCTGATGAATCCACATTAGAGGGACTCCATTTACCTGGTAACTGCTAACTAACAGCATTAGTTTTTTAAAATTAGGTATTCCCCCCTTATCTTTTCCTTTCCTCCATCTCTGCTTAGTTCATTCTACCAGCAGTGGATCTTAATGTCCTTTTATTAACATAAAAATATTAACAACTAAAATGTGTGTCCTCCATCATGTCATATAGCCATACTGAAACTCATCTTTCCCTTTTGTCAAGCTTTCTTAAATGAAGAGCTCCAAATTTTCCCAAAGAAAATAATACATACTCATGACTTGTTAGGAAGGTGAACTAAGATGCTATTTGTAAACCACTTCGCAGGGTGCCTAGACCATTGTATGCATACGATACTTGGTGGCTATTATTGTTGTACTTTAATTATCACATCTAATAACAAGTAGCAGGGGTGATCCCTTTTCTTGATGTGTTACTTTTGTTCATCATCCTTTAATGTTTTTTGTAAACTTTTATTGTTTGTATTGAAATATGAATTTCCTCATATGGAATAACTCCACATTTAACTAATAAATAAGTTTAAAAACAAAAAAGAATAATGCCCTTAATAAAGCCTGAATTAATAATTTCATTTTAACTAGTTACACAATTTAGGTTTTCACATTAAAATGAGGATTATTAGATACTGGCAAGAGGTTCCAGTTAAAATGTCTCAGAATATCACACTAGAACCTGGTCAGTGATTAAAAAAAGCCAACAAGAGGCAAAATGTCTCAATAATTGTCATAATGGTAGTAAGAATGGGGTAGAAACTATGTGTAGCATTTATTTTAAACTACCCCAAAACCTCTAGAAATCTTGGTTTTCTCCAGATAATGCAAACTTCATGAGTGAGAAAAATGAGAAGATCAAAGATTAGAAAGAATATATCAATGCCTTAAAAGCCTTACTATGTAGGGAAGCATTTTAACTTATTGAGGGAAAATTTCAGTGCCATCCAACATTGTATATAATCCCAGAGTGACATGGGGTCAGTTTATACAGGCTAAAATGAGCTCCTCTCTCTCTCTCTCTCTCTCTCTCTCTCTCTCTCTCTCTCTCTCTCTTTTTGAAGTTTTGCAAGGATTTATTTTAGTAAAACAGGATAGCATAGAGGGAAGTGGAGAGGAATAAAAGGGAGAAACATTTCCTGTTCCTCATGCAGGAAACTGGAGTAATGATTCTGAGAAAGCTCATCTGTGCATCTCTTCCCAGCTACTACCAGGTTAGTAGCTCTAAATTGACTATGGTAGAAATATTTACACATGGAAATCAGCAATGACAAAAGCTACAAAGCAAGGCTTTTTGTTCCTTTGTTTTCCTTTGTGTTTTTTGAGAAACTATTATTAAACTTCTGAAGCACACTGCTCCCCAATATCCTTTGAGTACTGGTGACTCGGATCTCTGAGTACAGAGACCTGACCTGTCTTGTTAACTGTTCTATCTTCCTGATTCATGGCACCACATAAGAACTCAATAACTATCTGCTGAAAGGATGAAAAACAGAATGTTCACACAGGTACAGAATTAGAAAGTCTATTTTTCTCTTTTAAATCCTTGAATGAAATTCAATTGTGCTGTATCTAATGGCTATACTAGATGCAACATGCTCCAAAATCCCCTTCTCAGCATGCTCAAAGACAAGTATTTAATGACAGAACAAGCACAAGAATCCAATTCTCTTTATTTCTAGTACTCTTACATGAAAATACACTGCCTCTTTGGAGTTAGGCCTTTTAATTGTATGTGCAAAGTGTGTGAGCCATGTCAATTAGAGTATCTTTTAAAGAACTAAGAAAATATACTATGATGATCAATAAGAACAAAATCACCTGCCTTGACAAGGAATGAAAACTACAGGTACACATTCATAAAAGCAAGTGTATTCTTAAGACACTGGCCAAATATCCCTGATGAACACAGATGCAAAAAATCCCCAATAAAATTCTTACTAACAGAATCCCATAACACATTAAAAAGATCATGCACCATGATCAAGTAGGTTTCATTCGAGGAATGCAAGGATGGTACAACATATGCGAACCAATAAATGTAATACAACACATAAACAGAATCAAGGACAAATCCACATCAACATATCAATAGATGCAGAAAAAGTCTCTGACAAAATCCAACATCCTTTCATGATAAAAGCTCTGAAGAAACTAGGAATAGAAGGCACATTCCTCAACATTATAAAGGCTATGTGACAAACCTTTAGCCAACATCATACTAAATGAGAAAAAACTAAAACCTTTTCCTCTAAATTCAGGAAGGAGGCAAGGGTGTCCACAGTGCTGAAATTCTTAAGCCAGAGCAATAAAACAGAAGAAATAAATACAAGGTAATCAAATAGAGAAGGAAGAAATCAAATTGTCCCTATTTGCAGATGATATGAGACTATACCGTAAAGATCTAAAATCTCAACCAAAAAACCCTTAGATCTCATAAACACATTCAATAAAGTAGCAGTATACAAAACCCATACTCAAAAATCAATAGCATTTCTATACTTAAATGAACAGTCTGAGATATAAATCAGGAAAACAATACCATTTGCAATAGCTTCAAAAAACTAAAATACCTAGGAACAAATTTAACAAAGGAAGTAACTGACCAATACAATGAAAATTACAAGTCACTAAAGGAAGAAATCAACAAAGACATCAGAAGATGAAAAGGCATTCCATGCTCATGGACTGGCAGAATTGATATTGTGAAAATGTCTGTACTACCAAAAGCAATCTATATATTCAATGCAATCCCTATTTAAACTCCAATGACATTCTTCATGTCAATAGAAAAGTCAACCTTAAAGTAGCAATGGAAGCATAAAAGGCCTTGAATAGCCAAAGCAATCTTGAGCCAAAACAGCAGCACTGGAGGTATCACAATACTTGACTTCAAACTATACTACAGAGCCATAGTAATAAAAAAATTAAAAAAAAATAAAAGCATGGTACTGGCACAGAAACAGACTTGAAGACCAATGGAACAGAATGGAGGACCATGATAAAACCCACAGGACAGCCATTTGATTTTTGACAGAGGAGCCTCAAATATAAGTTGGAGAAAAGACAGCCTCTTCAACAAATGGTACTGGGAAAACTGGGTAACTGCCAGCAGAAAACTGAAAGTAGGTCCCAGTCTCTCACCTTGTACTAGCATCAATTCAGAATGCATAAAAGGTATTAACATAAGATCTGAAATGGTGAAACTAATCCAGGAAAACTAAGAAACACATTGAACCACATAGGCATAGGTAATAACTTTATGAATGGAACTCCAATAGCTCAGCAATTAAGAGAAAGGATTGACAAGAGGGACTGCATGAAGTTAAAAAGCTTCTGCACAGCAAAGGAAATAGGTCACCAGACTGAAGAGACAATCTACAGAATGGGAGAAAATCTTTGCCAGATATACATCTGACAAATGATTAATAACCAGAATATACAGGAAGCTCAAAATCTAACCTCTCAAAGAATTAACAAACCACTGAATAAATGTGTAAATGAACTAATAGACAACTATTGAAAGAAGAAATACAACTGGCCAATAAACATGAAAAAATGTTTAATATTCTTGGTCATAAAGGAAATGCAAATCAAAACTACACTGAGATTCCACCTCACTCCAGTTACAATGGCTATTATTAATAACACAAACAACAATAAATGCTGGCTAAGACATGGGGAAAAAGAAGCACTTCTACACTGCTGGTGGGAATGTAAATTAGTGCAACCATTATCAAAAGCAGTACCCTCTGGGCATTCATCCAAAGGAATGTGCTCCAGGATACGATAGAGCCACTTGCACACCCATGTTTATTGCGCTATTTACAATAGCCAACGTTTGGAAACAGCCTAGATGCCCCATGACCAACAAATGGATTTTTTTAAAAATGTGGTATGTATACACAATGGAGTATCATTCAGCCATAAAGAATGAAATTATGTTGTTTGCAGGTAAATGGATGGACCTGGAGAACTTCATGTTAAGTCAAAAAGTCAAAGGTTGTATATTTTCCCTCATATGTGAGCAGACCAATAAGTTAAATGCATATATTGATATGTTTGATCTATCTATCATCTATCTATCTATCTATCTATCTATCTATAATGAGACAGAGAACAAAAATGTATTAATGAGTGTCTGAGGGGAATACAGAAGACAGGAGAGGGAAAGAAAATGTTAGAGAATGAAAAATATTGAAACAACCCATCTATATATGAATATATTAGAATGCACTATTTTGTAAACTGCTGAATATTAGAGGAGCATTATGATAGGCGATGAGTAAGTAATGGGGGGTTAATTTGATTAAAGCATGCTATATACAGGTCTGAAGTGTATCTCAATATGCAAGTAATAAAAATGAAGGGCTGGAGGATAAAACAGATCTCTTCTAGAAGTGGGTACCAGTAGGAGAGGAGAGGGCATAAGGAAGGAGGAAGGAGGAATGAGGGTGAATATGGTGGATGTGTTTTGTCCATATATGAAAATAGAAGAATGAAACCTGCTGAAATTGTTCTAAAATGGGCAACAGAGGAAAGGGAGAGAATGATGGAGGGGGTAAATCTAGGTTACATTATAAGCACATATGTGAATATTACAATGTATCCCCTGCACAACTATTATATGCTATCAAATAAAAAAAGACAGTGGCCCACATGAAATGGCATTTACAAAGTGCTGCTTTTCCATTGGTCGTTATTGGAGGGTCTTCAGAGAAAAGCAACAGCCTGATTAAGAGAGGCACTGTGAGTAATGCATGTTGGTAATCTGCTGTTATGCCAGTAATGTTAGCAGTGATGACAGTGAGGCAGTAACGTGCAGAAAGCCTGTCCTCTTACTATGAAGCACAGTAAGCAAGGCACGCAGTGTTGTGTCTCCTACTCCAAATTCTTCACATCCACAGCATAGCAAGGGAAGAGGCATGCCAGCAAAGCAAAGGGTGGAGCCATATCAAACTCTGATGCAGGGCTGGGGGCTTGGCTCAAGTGAGAGTGCCTGCCTAGCCAGCATGAGGGCCCGAGTTCAAATCCTACTACGGCCTAAACAAGAAACAAACTCCAATGCAAAGACACTGAACCCCACAACAAAGATCTCAACAGACAAAGGAAATTACTCCAGAACTCCTACATGATGTGACATGGCCACATGGGACCCAATGTCTGAGAGAAATGAGATTTTACAGGCAATGTTTTGCGAGGCCATCTAAAGCTACAACTTATAGTTTGGGACTCATGTAGATTCTAGAAGCTTAAAGATGATAAGGTTTGTTGAAAATACTTGCTAACCTCAAAGACTAAATTTGAACCTTATTGATTGGATAGTGAGAACATGCAGTCTCACAATTAAAATAAGCAGAAAATCCTTCAAGGACATCATCTTCCATAGACTTTTTACATTGCATATTTCAGCATTTTTATATCACAAAAATGTTTAAAGTTTTACTGAAGTCTGTGATTAACCAAACCTATGCCAGAGATCCAGCATTAAAAATAATAGGTGCTGGACATGGTGGCTCAAACCTGTAATCCCAGCTATTTGGTAGGCTCAGATTTGGAGGATCACAGCTCCAGGCCAGCCCAAAAAGTTTGTGAAACAACATCTCAACCAATAAACTGGATGCACACCTGTCATCCTAGCTATGTGGATAACTTCTACGGTGGTAGAAGGATCATGGTCTGAGGCCAGCCCTGGGCAAAAACACTAGACCCTACATGAAAAACTGCTAAAGCAAAAAAGGGCTGGGGGTGTGGCTCCTGAGTAGTTGGGATTACAAAAGTGCTCTACTATGTCTGGCTCCATCACTTCAGTTTATAAAATAAAACAGAGATAATTCTCACATAACCTTATGAGACATGTATTCTTATCAGCATAAAGGCCAGTAAACTGCCAGTATTATCCAGCTAACTATATAACAGAAGTAGGATCTGAAATCAGGTGACTCACCTTCAGATCTGTACTCTACTGCCAACCATGTTATCTTATTTACTGAAGTACGTTAAAAGTTCAGAAAGATATTTTGCCTAAGAAGTTTGACATGAATTAAGGACACCACTTCTCCCAAGATAACAATGAGGGTAGAATATACCAACTGCATGCTTTGCTTTCATAAGCACACTAGCATCATTATAACACAGCCACTCAGGAACTGAATAGTCAGAAGGAAAAGATACTCAACATGTACTCAAATATTTTACGTAAAAGTCACATTTTCATAGCCTCGTATACACCAGTAAGTTTGGGCTCTTGATATTTATAACTACCCAAAAGAGAAATGTGTAAATGTGTAAACCCAGTCTTTGATATTTGATTCCAGAAACCCAATAAGAAAAACCATTACATTGCAGGACTAGTATTCTGCTTCTCCAGGCATTTATGAGCAAATATTAATTTCACTTTATGATGTGAAACTTTTAAATGTTGTATGAGATTTCAGTCTAATCCAAGAAAGCAATTTCCTTGAAAACACAGTGCCTGCGTTTACTGACTAGTGTTTTAAGGTGCCTCCTAAGAGGGTACAAACATGGTAATGGCAGGAAATTGAAAGAACACTCACCCTAGTTTTGGCATCGATCTGACCACCACGATCCAGTAAGAGCTTCACCATGTTTGTGTTTCCCCTTTTGGAAGCCACATGCAGAGGAGTGATTCCATTCTATACCATGGAAAGACCAAACAGAGCAAGTTGGGTATGACAGGCATGATGGCAATGATGACATATTATATGACACAAAGGAGGTTATGATCCACGTGGTGACTTGACCCACACTTTCTATGGCTTCAATGTCTGATACAAATATAAATATATATATATATTTTGTTGTTGTTGTTGTTGTTGGTACTGGGGTTTGAACTCAGGCCTTTGCGCTTGCAAAGAAGGCATTCTACTCTCTTGAGCCATGCCTCCAGTCCTCTATGTCTCATTTTTAAGGAACAAAGAAGCACAAAGACCACAAAGCACTATTGTTAGAAAATGAAAAATGGAACAAAACTGTGTAAGTTAGTCAATAATTAAAATATATGTATTGAATGTATACCTCACAGTCAAGAGACAAAAGGAGAAACAAACACTCAAATTCTACCTAAGATAGAACCCTAGTATAAAGTCTTTCTATAACACCCATGCACTTAGGGAGTCTGGAATCTCAAAGTTTTCTATGCTAAAAAGTAGGAAACAAATATACATATCAACACCCAATGAAAAAATGATTATTCAAAACAACTTTAAAATAATTCAGTAAGAGAACTAACTTGAAAATAGCACAACATCATTTCAGTACAGAAGACTTCTAAGGACAAAAACAGTATACGAACCAATTATATTTATTTATTTTATTAGCTATCACTTGTCACTACAACAAAGACACATACTGGATATTTTTGTGTCATAATTTTTTAAACATCTACATATTGCATTAACTGATTCACATAAACATTGCCATGTAAATGAATTCTTTCCAATAAAAGCATACCATTAAACAGAGAATTCCACATGACATCTTTTTATGTGTTTTGTTAAGGCTTCCTATGTCAATTCGTTAACAACAAAAAAATTCCCCATTGAGTTGTATGCTCTCGTATTGTAAGACATACTATCTACATATTTTGTGCCTAGTGTTTTCAGTTTCATTGTGCATTGACTTGAAGGTGATCATTCATGATTCATGGTCTGACTTTGTAACTGTTTTAACGCATGTCAAAATTAGCCTTCTCAACTACTGCAAATGACTTGTATGCATGGGAATTTATAACATCTTTCCTGTTCATTTGTCATGATAATTTCCTGTGACTTGAAGAAAAGATGGAAAATATAGAATCTTTAGGAAGATCCAAAAAAGGGGGAAAAAAATCAAAACAAAACCTTTTTAAAAAACCATTGGTATTCATTTTTACTTGCTTAAAATACCCAATTCTTGCTGTCGAAGATAAGAAACTATTTTAATCCATACCCTGGCTGTGAAGTCTACAGCTGCTCCCCGGTTTAGAAGAAGAGTTGCCACGTTGACATTTCCATAGTGTGCAGCTATGTGCAAAGGGGTGAAACCACTCTGTGGAAAGAAAGAGAGGGCAGTCAAGGCATCGCACCTCTGTGGGTGCTGGTCACTACACCACTGAGGAAAGTCACAGGGTAACTCTCTACCTAACATGAGCTGCACACCTCAGACAATAAATGCTTTAATAATAATGTCAAATAATAATAGTGTCAAAGCTGGTAAATAGCTACATCAAGTAGTAAATACATATCCTACATTTACTGGCAACATCATTTTCAATTACCATAACAATTTATCTGTTTATGACATGTTTATACAAAACCATGTTTCTTGAGTTGGTTTTGCATATTAGAGAAAAACAGAATGTGATTAAACATGCAAGGTTTCAACCATAGGATTAACATAATTATGAATAAAAATGAGTTTTTCAGATAGTTGGAAAGCAGTGGTTTTGTTTTGCTTTTTAAAATAGCATTGATTTGCATTATATCTTTGGAACTGTGAAAATTTTTATGAAGGACATACAGCTCATTCCATATCATTTATACTGTCATGATATTAAGCAGGCTGCTTTAAGTAAAAATAAAATGAACTTAAAAACAAAGATGACATAAAAAACAACAAAAAAGCAACATATTTGATATCAACATGAATATGAAATAAAGAAAAGAATTAGTTTAATTCAAGTTTAAATGTTAAATAAAATTTCATCAATAAAATAAAATGTGATTAAACCAATTACATGGGCATTAGAAAACTGTTTACTCTCAAAACATTTTTTTAAAAGTGAAGTCCAAAATATCTTAAATGAGGAAAAGTGTATTTCCTGTCATTTCTTTTTTTGATGGAAATCTAGTCAGAAATTTTTTGGTTTTCACAATAGACATCTATTAACATTTTTCTTCTTAAAGGACACAAAGATCTGATAATTTTCCACATTCTAATTTTCTTGATCTAATAAAAGAAATAGAGAGCCCTAAGTGGCTATCACATCCTACAGTTTTCATGTTATTTTCCATTGTTCTTTTTTACTGGACATGAACTTGGATGGGTATCATACTGTTTTTAAGAAATATTTTCAAAGTTACCATTGTTGTTTTTCTATTGACTTGTCAAATAGAGTTTGTTAATTTTGTTTTTAAAACCTCCTAAGTAAGCATTCAGATAACTTAGGTAACAGATTTTTTTCTGTGCTATCAGAAACATTAGATGCAAGCAGTTTCTGACCATAGAGAGCAGGACACAAAATAAGCATGGTTAACTATTAATCCCGACCCCATCACTGTGGTCAAGATAGTTTTGTGTCCAGGTAATGCCAAATATTCATGTCAAAATGAAGGGGAAAAAAAAACACCCCTCAATCTGACTGTTATTTTATAAAATATCAAATTTTTAGATTTTAAAATAATTGATTGGATTTTTTTCATTCTGATCTTACCATTTCCTGTCACCCAGATATATCCTGAATATATGGTCATTATTCATGTTATAATTTAATTTTAGAAAAACATATTACTTCCTGGTGAATCATTTCCAAATTATTCAAGTATGATAACATTATTTTTCTCATTTATAAAAATAAGCTAATTTATTGTCTGACACATCCTCATTAAGCATCCATGATAATGTTTCAAGTTATAAATCTTGGATCAACAGGCAGCTGTTAGCCCTCTGATAAAACATGGAAGAGGGAGGTTTTTAGATGAAGGGTTTCCTTTCTTTGTATCCTATGGTCATCAAAGAAATATTTATAATGCAATACAAATCCATCCACACTGCTACTTTCAACCACAACGTTTACAGCCAATATTGTTTTTTAAAAATGTATCATTTTAAAAAAGATTTTACCAAAAAGCACCTAAAAATGCTATTAAAATCAATAATCAAGATCAAATTGCATGGCTCCTATCTTGAATAATTTCACCACGTAGTTGAGTTGGGTATTTTTTCTTTTGTCTCCAACTTAGGTTCCATGCACAGATATGGAACAGAAGAAGCAACCCAAATAATTTGAGTGCATTGGCATCTCAATAGATAAATGTACTAATAAAGAAGATAACAGTTTGAAAAAATGCATTACTGTCAGTGACTACTTAAGTGTGGATGCTCAACGCTCCACAAGTTCACAACCTAGTGTGCAAATAAAATTAGTTTGAAGAATACGCCCCTCAAAGTATCAACTACGTAAACAGGTACTTGCCTTTCAACATAGATTAATTTTTATAATTTATCTTCAATAATGTTCCTCTTGGTGACTCTCTGAAGCAATGACCAAAGGAAGAACACACACACACACACACACACACCATTACAGAGCGGCTTCCGAACTTAATGTTCTTGTTGATTAATGTGAACTATTTTAGTATGAGGAAAACGATTTATCTGCAAGTATTTTAAGACTTACAAGAAAAAGCAGCTATTTTGCCCATGATGTGCTCAATATCATTATTGATTGTAAACAATGTGGTAAAAAAAAAAAAGCATACAGGAAAAAGAAAAAAGGCAATGCAATTAGCACATTTCCATATCTCACTTTCCTAAAGTCTAATCTGAGATTCTCACAGAGAATACAAGATCATTTTTTGCCTTTGCAAAAAGTTCAGAATAAAAGTCACTCATTAAAATACATGCTAAGGAAGAGTTTCATTTCATGCTAGACTCCTATAAATTATTTTAAGTTTCACTGAATTATTGATGCTTCAAATAGACGTTCCATTAAATATGTTTGAATTGTGAATTTCCCTTAATTCTGGGAAATTTTCCTAAATAATTTCCCATTAGTGAAACTTTAATCATTAGTATGAATTAGTGAGCATTTATTGTAACTAGGCAAAAACTAAAAATAAAATAAAAATGAGAGAATGTTGTCATAACCGTAATACTGTACCTCAGTTGTCCTATTCACCATCATCTGAAGCAGGGTTGTGTGGGAAAAAGAGGGAAGATATCAAACAGAGCCAAATCAAGGAAACAGTCAATTTGCTCTCTGCAACTGGGGATGCTATTCCAACATGCCACAATGCAGTCTACTGAGTAATGATATCCCAAACATTACATAATGCTGTTTTTTTTCTAATTCTTTTCTGTTATTCATGACCGATATAGAATAAAGAAGCAAATATCTCAATAGCTGAGCTTCATCTTTTAAAAAAATTATCTAGCATTTAATTTGTTGTTACAGTACCCAATAGACAGTCCCCTTCTTTATGAAATACCTCTGAGAGAAATTTATCTTTTTTCCTGACCAGCAGTAATTTTGCATTATCACTATGGTCTATTTCTTTAGCCTTGTCCAGGAAGAATCTGGCAGTGGAGAGTCTCTTTCCACTAGCGCCCTGGGCTTTACCTTGGACTGTACATCAGCATTGTGGTCATTCTGAAGCAGCAGTGCTGCAGATTTGGTGTCATCTTTCCTGGCTGCAATATGCAGAGCTGGCAGCCTTACTTTCCCTTTGGTGTCATTCTCTAAGAGGATGGCCACCGCTTGGTTGTGTCCTTGCTGGAGTGCCACAGCTAGAGGAGTAAAGCCATCCTGGTAAAAGAAAAGAAGAAAATAATCTTCCCTTAACTTTTGTATGCTTGGGATTCAGCTCCAAGCAATGATGCTAAGGTTTGAAGGAATGATTAAGACTGATAAACAAAAGGGTTAAAGATTATGGTGATGATCAAAAGCAGATTATAATTAGCTGTTTGTCATACTGACGACTTATTTAATCAGATTGCTTTCCTAACTTCTATTCTGTACATTTTTTAAAACATCTGTATTCTAACAAAGCATAGTAAATATAGGATGTGATCATTTGGAAGCAAGAGTGTGATCAAATGTATGGTGTGGGGAAAAGAAAAATTAGAACAAAGTAATGTCAGCTTGTGTGAAGGAAATCACAAAAGAAGGGTAAAGAGAATGGAAACCAAACCTAACTGGGAACAAGAAGCAGAGTAACCTACATAGAAAAATAAAATGAGTCATCAATTTTGCAAGTTACTGTTTCTGAGCTGGTTAGGGGAAAATGACAACCACCTTAGATAACATGGTCTATTACTAAACTAATTTTGGTAGTTTGGGATATAATATAGTCTAAAACTCTTTAGCAAATGAGGCTAATCATTAATTTTATTAAGATCATCAGGTCATCAAATGATAGTTATGATCATTTATTTTAAAATTGCATAAGCTATATAAGACTTTTAAAATCAACTTTTTTAATTCTAAACTCAACAAGAAGGGCTAGCTTAATAATACAGATAATACAAAGTTAAAAGGGTCTTGGGGATAACCATGCTACAAAGTTAGGAAAGTCATGTTTTTCTCTAGAAACAAGTATTTAGTCCATGACAAGGTAACAAGTAAATAGAAAAAAGCACATATTCTAGACTGTTTACGTAAAAATTTCCTTAATTGCCCCAAATTTGAAACAAAATCTTAGAAATCTCCATTTGTAGACAGAAGTAATAAGGGAAACAGGATACACATTTAAACATTACAAACTAGGGACACAATCCACTCAATTTGTTTTCAATAATAATCTTTAAAATGGTAGCTGCAGACTTTTGAGGGAAATAATTTTCCTCAAGTGTATCATATCATGTATGCAGTACCAACCATAATATGCATTTAACTTTTCTCTTCAATAATATTTTAATTTTAAATATAACACACTATTTTAATTTTAAATATAATAATATTTTAATTTTAAATATAAATATATGTTTAAATATAACATTTTAATTTTAAATATAACAGAGGGGAGGAGTAAAATATGCCACATCTTAAGATGAAAAGTAGTAGCTTATGTTTACAACTTTGACACAAATTAAGTACTCTGTGAATGAAGAAGGCATAAACTCATTACCATATACATATTTAATTTTATTATCCAAGACACTGTGATAGTCTATAGTAAGAATGTGAGCTTTATTTTGTTTTCTCAGAGATAAAGCATTTGCACAGAACAGATCCTCATTAAAAAGACTCCATCCTTTGATTTTTGGCAAGAAAGAAGGAAGAGAGTAGAGTAATATAAAAATGGTACTGTCAGGACAGAGACTCCCTTGAGAGAATTTAAAGTTAAGTCTCCACCATGTGGAATTCATTCTAAGCTACACTTCAGGAAAGAAGGGTAAATATTTATAAGGATTTCTTCAAGTGCTTCAACTACCTCTATGAAAATGAAATCCACATTAAAGTTCAATTGCTTCATTTTCATCATTTATTTACCAATTGCTATAGGTATGAGAAATTTTAAAACTTTAAACACTTCTTCACATACATAAGTTTCATTGTAATGCGGAATGGTCCCATATTATCTGATTTTTTAAAGCAGGACTAATGTCATAATTGCTAATTAATTTTTCACATTACAGCTACAACTAGTTTAGGGTAAGTGCCTCCTACTGATATAGTCACACATGTGCCCAAGAGACTGCAGAAGATAATTCAGCCATACCACATAGAAATGGCAACCAACAATCTACCCTTATAAAAATGTTATTTTGCCCACATGTGTTTCTTGAGAATCACTAGGGTTGGTGTTAGGGCTTATTGAATTAAGTTCATATATACCCAATCAGGAAAAAATAATTTTAGTTACTTAATAATCTTTTAAGAATGAAACAAATAAGGCATACTCATATCTAATCTGGGATTCAAACACCCAAGATTCCTTTGCAAATGTTGTCTTCCTGTGTGAAAATCTAAGGTGTTAATTTCCTGCAGTTTCCAACAGCATGGCCTTCACATAGGCATCAAACATAAAGGGGTATTTTTGAGCTCTAACTGAAGTGCTACAGAGGTCTAGACCCAAGGAACCATGTGTCAGCTGGGATCGTTTCCCTAAACCATACACTAGAGACAATATGTCTATTTAGTAAGAAAAGGAATTCTGTTGTAATGATTTTCACCTGAAAATGATTCTGACTTCAAGGACAAAGAAGAAAACAAATGGACTTCCTTATTTATTTTTATTTATTTATTTATTTATTTTTTTTTTTGCTACATTTCTCAAAGATACAGTCTTTGTTACCCAAGCTTCGCCTGAAGATATTCACATGCTACCCAGGGACAAAAAAAACCAAAACTGTGTCAGTACATAAAAAGGTCCCAGATCCTAAAACTCACAATGGATTCTTACAGCAAGAGTGTATAATTGGTGTAGACTGACAGGAGAATGCACACATTTCATACTGGGTTTTTACACTTCTTGTTATAAGCAGGGAATGTGGTCTCATTAATAGTGATTTCTTTACATTTTTCCCTTTAATAAGAATAAAGCTGTCAGACAGTGACTATGATTGGTTTCATAAAAAGTTTTCTTTTTATAAAATGGATTATATAGATTTTAATGACTTCCTCCTGCAATGCAGCATAGGAAACACATAGCATTCATTTTACCTAAATACTTAATTGTCTGGAAAGGAACCCATATTGTCATTAAAAATTATCTAGATAAAGCAGGCAGTCATGGTGTTAGCCTATAATTCCTGCACCTGATAGGCTAAGGCAGGAGTATCACAAGATGGAGGCCAGCCTGGACTACACAAGGAGATCCTGCTTCCTCAAACAAACAAACAAAAAAGAATAAATGATCACTAATCTAAAATGAAGGAATAAACTCATGCACTGTGTGCACAGCCTGAGGCGCTCACTGGCCACTGTTGTAGATTAAAACAGTAATGTGAGCATTTCTAGCATATTTATGGAGATCCTTGCAACTGGCAGAAAGAATATGAACTTCAAGATGGCGGTCTTACCTCTGTAGCAGTGCTCTGATTAGCTCCATTTTCCAGCAAATACTTTACAACGTCAATGTGATTCTCCTGGGCAGCCATGTATAAAGGAGTGAAGCCATTCTGAGGACAAACAATAAAAAAGAAGACATCTCTGATCATTTGTAAAGCTTAAAACCAGGGAAGAAGAACACAACATAAGAGAAGAGAGTACACTAGGGAGTAAGCCTTTGAAAAGGTGGAGCTATATATCATTCTTCCATATGGAATAAATCACACTTGTATTTACTGTTATAAAACTAGTTCCTTCACCCAATTCCTAAAGGAATGCAGAGAGAAGAAGGAAGAAGTATTTCTCTTATTTCCTGTCTTCATTTCAGTACCAGATTCTCATTTCTCATCACTGTCACCATTAAAGATATCTCATATCTTAACATCTGTATCATTCAGGCTGACATGGTAGCACATGCCTATAAACCCAGTTAGTCTGGAGGTGGAGATCAGGAGAATTGCAGTTCAAGGTCAACCCAGGAAAAATGTTAGTGAGACATTATCTCAACAAACAAATGGTGGTACATACCTGCCATTCCAGCTACACAGGAGGCATAGGAAGAAGGATTGTGATTTGAGGCCAGCCCAGGCAAAACTATGAGACCCTATCCAAAAAAATAACTACAGCAAAAAAGGACTATGGCATGGTTCAGGAGGTAAAGCCCACCTAGTGAACACAAGGCCCTGAGTTCAAACCCTAGTATCACAAAAATAAAGAATTCTATATAGAGAGAGTTCTCACTCTACATAGTGTTTATGATAGCTATATAATATCTTCTATATTTGTCAATTCATAAACTCTTTAAACAGACTATGATTGCCTTGATTGTACAAAATTTATCTAGCACTCTTAGTGGTATAAATTACTGCTCAGAACAGAATAGGCGAGGAGAGATTACGGACTTGATTGGAAACAAAAAAGTCTGTACTCCTGATTGAATTAGCATGATTTGCACTGAACATCTTTATATTAAAGCCACTCCAAAATTCTAGAATTATTTCTTACATCCATCTCCTCATATTTATTAAAATCCAACCAGTGCTAGCTGAGCCATCCCTGGGATACCTGGATAAACGGGACAGACACAAGTGCCCACATGTAGTAGACAGGATGATGACATTACATATGTTCTCATGGAAAAAACCACTGAAATGTTGCAACATGAGTTTAAAACTAAGTTGAAATTGGCAGGCTTCCTTTTTATTAGATGCTTAGGAATATATAAACCTTGTTAACTAAAAAGAAAAAAGCACAAAATTTTATTTAAAAAAGAAAACTTGTACAATAATTCATGAATTCCCAAAACCTAGCAATTTTCTGAAAACCATGTCAGAGTATTAAACATAGATGATGCTCTTTTCCCATGCATTAGTGAGAATAAATAAAAGCATATGTGAGCATTCAAAAATTAAAAACTTAAAAAGGAGAAAATAGTCTTAAATTATTGAAATGAAATTTCTTCCATGTACATTGTATATGTGTAGAAACATTACACAAAGTGACCAAGATGCAGTAAAATATGGAGTATATTAGTGGAATAAGTAATTTAAAATTTGATTATGAAAGAAAATCGGTATGCTTCCAATGGTGGATGAAAACTTAAAACTAAAAGAAATCCTATAAGAGGAGTGAATTCAAGTGTTGTAGGATTCAGCTTGCTAGCTGGATAGAGCATATTTTTTAAAAACACAGCAAGCAGGTGAAATCATGTGTATTTTAAGAACACTGAAGAGGTGGCGGAAGGATGGAATTAGAGATTCAAAGGAAGGGAAAGCCAGGGAAGATGGTTGAAAACAATGAGTGGGTGTGGAATGGGGATCTTTCATGACAAGTAAGAGCAGGGAGGCAGTAAGAAAAAGAACTTTTAGTGGAGTACAATTTCCTAATGTTTTTCCTCTGATAGAATCTTGTCTATACAAGATTCAGGAGAAAGGGAAATAAAAAGCCATTGCCAGGTCAGTAGAGGTCAGAAGATCGACCATCCTTAGGCCACTGTCTATGGAAGGCCCTGACCCTGGGTGCTTAGCTGAAGAGGGACCTCTGCTGGCTGAGCAAAGAAAGGAATCATCCTGAGGGCCAAGGAGACATGCCTACCATGAGCACTGAACTCCCTGATGGCCCAACCACACCCCAGAACCTGGCTACCAAAATCCCTGCCTACGTGTGCTCCCAGTGCTTGCTCAGACTTCTTTCTTGTTATCCTCCCAAGGGTCTTTTGCTCAACTGTAATAGCAGTCAGTCTTCGTGTATGTCTGTCTCCTAATCTCTGGAACCTGTAAATTCCTCCTTACATGGCAAAAGAAACTTGATAGATGTGATTAGGTTAAAGATGTTGAGATGGACTGATTATCTTGCATTATTCAAGTGACCCCAAGGTTGGAGAGGAGAGAAGATGGTGGCCATGATGAGGGAACTGGCCATGATCTAAGACCATGATCTCCAGTCCAGAATCTGGAGCCAGAAAGGAGAAGGAGTCTCACCTAAATCCTCCAGAAGGAAACAGCAATATAAACACCTTGGTTTTGAACCTGTAAGACTAATTTCCAAAACTAGGAAGGAACAAATTTGTATTGTTTTGAGTTATTGAGTGCATAGTAATTCCTAACAGCAGCAACAAGAATCAAATACACAGTCCACAAGTTGTTTACTAGGGAAAGGTTGAAGTAGGAGATAAATGGAGCCTGAATAGGTTCAGACTGGGTGTTCACATCTTTCTAGCTGATGCTCCTGTGGTGTGGATGGAGCCAGGGATGGAAGAGAAGAAGGGCTGTCTGTGACTAGGGTCCTAGGACCAGCACTCCCCTCACTGCAGTCCTGTGTGGAAATGCAGGGATTCATTCCAAGAAATATGAATGTGGATCTGTCTTGCTATTATGAAGACATTTGTCAGGTCAGGACACACTTATTTAACCATTTGTTAGCTTGATCTATAGCTCCTAATGTTTCAAAAAACAGTCACACTGTAAGTGAGCCTCTTTTGCACTCTTGTCCTGAGACCTGCAAGAATTAGAGGTAGTAGAATAAAGAGAAAAATATCAAGGCTTACAAGATATAGTCTACAAAGGAAAAGGGCAGTGATAAGGAAACGTCCAGGACAGTGGTAGAGAGCACTGTGAACACCATTTGTGTGCCCTGTAACAATTCAGTGTGCCACAGTCTCCAGGAGAGGAGAGGAGCAAATATGAAGAACAATAAAAATAAAACTGATTGACTGAGCTTCTGCTCTATGTTATCTACTCTGAGAAATACTGTGACTATGTCTCCTCAAATTCTAGTGATCACATGCTGTGATTTTCCTAGAACACCCCATCTCCATGCACAGTATACTGGAGTCATTATTAATAGTGTCTTGGTTTGGATGACAAATGACTACTCCTATCCTTAATAGTGCCACAACACTGGTATTATCATTCTAACAAAGGCAGATGAGGAATCTAACACTTAGGTAATTTGGTAGATGTCCTGAAACTTGTAAGTGAATTTGGAGTGACAGAGAAATACCTGTTCATGAATAGTCTTTTTGTAATGGAATGGGGACTTTATCCTGTGTTTGAGTGGTCCTCTGCCTAGCTGTGAGATAGTTTTCTCTAGAAACAGTAATGCCTGAGCATTCCTATACCTCCTTTCCCCTAGGAATTGCAGTTAACCAACTGCATTTTTTGAAAATGCCTTAAGAAGTTTGTTACAGGTGATGCAGAAGAGTTGAATGGTTTGTGTTAGGGAGTTCCATGACACATTTGCATTTTAGCACGTTCACTCTGGTGACCATGAACACCTTGGCTTGGTGTGACAGGAAACCAGAGGGGAAGCAGGGGTAAATCAGCTTTAGCAGTATTTGCAATAGTGTGCATAAAAAGCCATAGGAACTCAAGCCAAGACAGCATCTTGGTTAAGAGATGGGGGAACTGTCTGCTGTTACAGAATATTTCAGATAAGGCAATAAAGATTTACTAGTGATCCTAAAGGTGTGGAGATCATCCTTTCTTGTCTTCCTGCTGTTTAGTAAGAAAGAGCCGGTTAGGGAATGTGAAACACTCCCTTAAGTAATTAGGACAGAGCCCAGCAGCAGTTTAACACCATTCTAAACTTTATAGGAAAGCATTTATCTTCACATATAAATGGCTTAACAACACAGTATCATTGGTCTCCGTATACACGCACTAAGGTGCTTTCCAATGTATTGTATATCTCTGTGTTTTTCTAAGACAGTCTGATTGCATGTAGGTGTAAAAGTATATGTAGTTTCTTACCGTTGATACAAAAAAAAAGTCAAAGATACACATAGCCCTGGTTGATATGTGGTAGTTACAACAGGGATAGCTTTGCCAGTTGTCACAGTAGTTCTGGAATGACCAATACATGTCTGTAGCAACTGGTCATTAAATATTTTTAATGTTACTCCTGTCTATAGGAAATTATTAATTATTTGTTATTTATTTGCATTTATTCAACAAATGTGGCTTGGTGACTCTTCACTTCTAGGTGTTGTGTTCAGCTTTAGTGATTCAGAGGCAAGACAAAACTAGTTTTTATAAGAATTTAGTCTAGAACTGAGATTAATAAGTTAGCAAAATATTATTTTATGGTTCAGTGGACACATGATATTTGCGCAGTTTTTTATGTTATTTGTTAGATATAAAGAGAACATAGGTGAAGCACACAAAACAACTGCATAAGGAAATTATATCTGAAAGATGTCATTGGGAGTGACTCAGCGTGAACTGAGTCATGAAAACACAAATGTCAGCCACAGCAGAAAGGTGTTCAGACAGAAGAAATATGAGATGAGAAAATGGGACAAATGGGGACCTGCACAAAATTTAATGCTGGTGAGGAGAGGAGGCTGAGGCAGGCAGGGATCAGTCCTCATTTGCCTTGCTAAGGAATCTGTATTGTATTTTGAAAGCCTCAGGAATCGCTGGGATTTAAACTGGGATTTGACATTAACACATTTGCATTTTAAAGAAATTACTTTGCCAGGAATGGAAAGGATGGAACAGAAAATGGCCAGACTATGTAGTCTAGAAGAATGGAAAGAAGGTGTTCCCAATGAAAGTGAGAATTATGAATA